CAGAACAGGCAGATCGACGAAGTACACTGCTGAGGGGAGCAGCGGGCGGGTCAGAAGAGGTCTGCCGCGCCATGTGGTCACCTCCGGGGCAGGCGGGAATCGAACTCATGAGGAAGCGGCTTTTAGATTCTCAGTGCTGTGCTTTAACCCTCTGCGCCACCAGGGAGGGCCCAGGTATATATATTTTTTAATGGCAACGCAAAGAAAAAAATTTAGAATAAAATTTATAACAATAAATAAAATTATAGAATAATCATAAAATTATTGTAAGGAAAAATAGTGTTTAAAAAGGGGCACAAGCCTTTAGCAGGAGAGAGGCAATTTCTTCAGAATATTTTGACCATTCCACTTTGAAGAATACTTGAAATGGAAAAGATTTATATTGCATTATTGCATTCGTTTTAGAAATAAATGACAATTCATTTTTAAATCTGGTTAGTATTTCTCAAGATTTGTAAAAGCAACCGGACTCTCAAGAATGACTGAGCAGATGCAGTATACCGATTGCTTGGATTTAATAGAATTCCTGGAACATAAGGCTGATTAAGCTGCTTATAAAGTGTGATGCTATATTTAAACTTACGGACTTCAGAGGTTTTCTGCAATTTTAGTGCCAAGTTATGAAAATATTTCAATTAAGAAAATGGAGCCAGTTTAGTATTTTTCCTTTGTGCACACATTAAAAACCATTCCCCTAGAGATCCAAGGCACACAGACATGCCCCTTTCTTAAGTAAAAGTTCATTCAACAGAATCTTTTGGTGGATGCCCCTCATGATAGCTTTTTTCTATTTTTGAAGGCAAAAGCATCACTTTCTCTACCACATATTCCTGAAGAAACTATCTCCCACATAGAACTACAGAAGGAAATGTTACTTTCTTTGAGTCACTCACTGGGAGAAATCAGCTTACTGTCCAAACTGACTACAACTTTACATAGAAGAATGAAGCACAGTGTATTTCCCTCCAAAAGGGTAAAAACTTTTCAATTACTTAACATCCAGGTCTGTTTTAATTTGCATATTTAGAAAAAAAAAAGAACTGTCCTTCTACCCAAATATATACTTCTTTATCCTTGGCAAACAGATCTGGTCATTTCCTGTGCTATTTTCTGCACTAATTTGAGACCCTTTCTATTTGAGAGTCTTTTCCTCAGGAAGTTTCTCACTTGTAAAAAATAGGGGGTAAGAAAAACAGAAACGAAACTTAAAGTCTGAACTGCCTATTTAACTGAGAAGATTTGGAGGCAAGACTTCATGGACACAGAGTTACCATCTTGGAGGCGGATCTCAAGAGTAATTGTGTTATTTGACAACTAAAAACTGGACAAAGAGAGTTGCCTAAAAGTATCATTTTTAAAACTAGGTCATATTAAAAGTATAGATGAAACTTGTCTGTCTGGTTTCCTTAACATTTTATTTCTGCTGTGTGTCTACTCTCCTAACAGCTTGGGTAGTTGTGCTTATTCTCTATTAAAAGTCACCAATGCTTCGAAACCTTTAGAAGTCTGCAATATTGAGACAGGCAGGAAACATGCCACATACAACTATGTGTCCCTCATGTCACCTCACAGAGTGCCTAGCTTGTGACCAATGATTAGCAAATGTCTGCTATGTGAAGAAGAAAAAATATTGTTTCTAAGAACCTTGGTGATGTTATTGAGAATGTCTTGGTATTTATTTTTGGATGATACAAGTCCAGTCTGTTCCAATGTCCGAAGATTCCTCTGGATCTTCCTCTTTTTCTGCTCCAGGGGCAGCTGTGCATCTGCAGCCATAGACTGGCTAGTCTTCATCTCTTCTGGAGTCCTGGAATCTATAATGGCACGGCTCAGCATGTCTGTGGAGTGATTTATTTCCTAAAAAGGGAAGATCGAGATTGTTGATTTTTTTTTAGAAACCCTTAATCTCACAGATTCAGAAGCTGCAAAAGACAAGTTCATGTCAAAACGAAAGAGTCCTTAAACTAAAATCAAAGACCAGAGTTGTAGAATGTTCTTCATGGATTCTGAAGTAGGTCTTTCGGAAGGAATTACTTCGTCTTTGAGAAACACAGAAGTAGTGGCAGGTCTGATTTGCACAACATTCTAAATGGCTACTTCACTGCAAGGTGACAAGTCACCTCAGCAGTGGCCATTTATAATAGAAAACTGGTGTTTGGTAATTCCAATTCTTGCACAGTATGTTGAAGAAACTAAAACTAGATTATCCATTAAAACATGGGATCTGAGGACCCTGTACATCTGGAACCTAACTTTACTAATCTCTCACATATCAGCCACATTTATGGAGACTCATAAGCTGTGAAGGCAGCCAGAGATCTTCGTTCTGATGAGGGGATCATTCTAACTTCCAACTCTGAAAAGCCTGCAATTTTTAAACCAAAATGGGGGAAAAAATATTCTAGTAGGCAGTAATTCTTAAATAAATGATTAACTTTTTCAGTGAATAAAAATTATTTGGACAGTTTAAAAAATTACAGTAATAAGAGAGACTAGCAATTATCTGCACTGCATTGTACAAGTTACCCAACAGTTAAATCTAAGGGTATGAGAAACAGATGCTATGAGAAACAGAAAGGACAGGTCATCATTACAAACATAGGAACCATTTACTGAGTCAGCAACAAAGAACAGCACAGCAGTAACAATGGCGGCCACTCTTACTTAACATAAAACAGCACTTAGTAAGTGCTGGGTGTTGTTCTAACACTTTAAATTCATTCCTATTTGTGAATTGGGTACAATTATTCTCATTTTACAGTAGAGGAAACTGAGGCACAGAAGTATTTCTAGATGCCTAGAGTCACACTGCTGGGAAGTACAAAGCTATGCTTGATGCTGGAAGTATGTCTCGTGACTATGCAATATTTGGAGAAAAAATGAAATATTTGATAAGGACTGAAAGTCTCATGCTAAATTAGCAGCTATTTTACCCATTGTTTAAAAAATTTTCACATATTAACCAACATCATTTGAAGTTTTGTTACACATATATATTTTGTTACAAATTGTGACTGATTTCTAGGCAATCAATTGAATTAAAAATGATTCAGGAAAATTATGTGTAGCACTGCAAAGAAATAACCAATTAGGTAATTTTGTTATCTTTTGTTTGGGGCATGGCAATTACTGGTATTAAGCAATAGCATTTGCTCTTAATTTAGAGCAAACTAAATAATGATGTTATTTTAAAGAGTGTTGATTAACAGTCTAATACAAGATTGTTATGAAACTTCAGTCAATAACTTATACCAGAATAACAGTGCTCTGACCCATGGACTCAGATATGCTCTTCTGAAGAATTTGGAAACCATTTTTAATATGCAAGACATTTCCCTGTTTCTCCAGGTTAGGCAATCCATAAACTATGAAAGGTATTCTTCCATGGCCCGTCAACCAGAACCATCTCTTAGCTTATCTGCCCATCCACTGTGATAAAGTTTATGATGAACATTCTGACGCATGAAAGACCCCAAACTACTTTTCTAATCTAGAACTAAATGATACTCAGTATAAATTTGGAATTACTTGTTCTATTTCATTCCTCCTGATACTTACTATGGCTTTTATATATGGCTAAACTTAGATTTCCAGAGGAAAAGATAAAACTCATTACTTCCAAACCATGTCATACACAGTTTTCTGAGACAACAGTAAATGTTTGGCATGAAGATTATTAAAATTAACTCATATCCACAGTACTTATTCTTTTACAGTCAAACAAACAAACAAACAATTACCTGTTGTTCAGTTGCTGGTGTCTCTAAGATTTCTGTCAATGTGCTACCTGGTTGGTTCCGGATCACATCAATGATCAGCTTTTTGGTTCTGACAAAATAAGAGAAAGAAGAAACTCACTTTCAGAAGAAGTCCTGAGGGAGAGTACACACATGTACAGAAATGAAGTTTCAGAGAAAATCCCTTAAAATAAAACAGTCCTGCAGAATTTACCACATCTGCTCTAAGGCTCCCGAAGCGTTGTGAATGCTTGATAATAGAAGTCTGGGTTTTATGTGCTTGACGGGCAAGGATTATACTGTCAGTAACATGGGCACAGGATGTCAAAAGATTTCTTATCTAGCTTCTTTTTTTTTCTTTTTAGACTGAGAAGCTTTTTGATGAGCAGGAGGGACAAGTGCTGCTGATATACCCTTACAGCAGAGGGTGCCAGAGTAGTATCTAATACCCCCTCCTTTTCCTGACTTTAATAGCATTTGACCATGTGCTTAATATATCATAAACCTTTAGGAGCCAGAGCAATCATTATGCTTTCTGATCTGAGAAAGTTATAAAGTGGTTTGGAGGCCAGAGGGATGAGAAGCCCTGTGGATTGCACAGGCGTCAGCTGTTGGCCCACTTGGCAGCTTCCAGGATAGGTGTTGAAGAAGCTCAGATGTGGAGGAGGAACTAGCCAACAGGCATGAGTCCTTGTCTTCGGGTAATAGAGAACAGATGAGTTGCTCAGTGGAAAATGAGAACTGGAAAACCCCTCTGGAAACGCTAAAAACACGACTTTGATATATGTTCTTTATGGTAAACCAGTCAACCCCTTCCCAATTAAAGACTGGGTCATATAATTAGGCAAAATACTTAACACAAAAAGCAAATAGGGCCCTCCCTGGTGGTGCAGTGGGTTAGATCGCTGCCCTGTGAAGCTAAGCCATGCCGTGGCTGCTTCAGCGTGAGTTCAATCACCACTATGGGGGTGACCCAACATGGTGCAGCAGACCTATCCTGACCTGCCCCCTGACCTGCCCGCTGCTCCCCTCAGCAGTGTGGTTCAACAATCTGCCTATTCTGCTCCCCACTCTGTCTTTGGTGAAGCCTCTCACCACCCCTGCACCTCTGGCCTGTACCCCAGTTCTGTATGCACAAATAAGTAAATCTTTAAAACAAAACAAAAAAATCAAGTAACTCAAGGTTGCTCAAGGTTGCTCTTTCTGACTTACATGGGAACAGTATTACTAGCTAGAGCCTATCTCCAAAAGAGGGAAACCTGAACATAAGATGCCTGAAATTATAAACACGTGTGAATGCTATCTGAAGTTTCACTTTCGTTGTACCTTTATTTTTGTGTTTTTCCTCAGTCTTTCAAAGGCATGACGCACTATCACCAGATGATGAATTTCTTCCCCAACAACAGCAGGAAATGTTCGTGCAGCATGAGTTGGAAAAGGGCACGATACTGATCATGTTTGCAAGCACAGGGGCCATGGCTCCCACATATCAGAGACCTTCCAAGGTCACTGCAAATCCTTTATTTTTGAAAATAGGATGAAACTCCAAAAGACCAGCTGGCAACGGATTTTTCCTCACTTCCTATTTATTGAGAGCCGCAGAAGAAGGATCACTGCTATTTCCTATGGCTTCATGACCCTTCTCTGCTGGGGATTTACAGGCTGTCTGGGAATGCACAGTTAAGGCTCCACTGGGAGTCAAAGATGGGCACACAGCTAATTATAGGCACGTGGGAGACAGCCTGCTCAGAGAACACGTCCTCCCCATACTACTGCCTCCTCCCTTCATCTTCATAATGTATTTATCAGGAATGTGAAGTTTAAAATAAAAGCTTTGGATGATTTAAAAAAAAATATAAACACAGTGATTTTTCCTATTTGAAATAATATTCTAGGAACCACTTAGGATAGAACACTCCCAGCGAATCGTCTCTCCAGCAGCTATATCTAGGGCCAAACAACTGAGGTCACTGACGCTCGCCCACCAGGGGCAAAGAATGTTTTATTTGTTCAGGAACTGCTGGGGACAAACAGCCCATAAAGCCGTTTACTTTTTGTCAGGCCCATGGCATCCATGGCCAACTTCTGTACAAGTGACCATCTGGTTTCTGATCAGGGAGCTTGCTGCCTGCCTCTCTCCACCTCGGCCTCATGGTTAAGGGCTCTGGGGTCTGATGGATCTTGGGTGGAATTGGGGCCCCTGTTGCTCACTAGTTGTGTGGACTTGAGCAAATGATGTAAGCCCTGTAGGTTTCTTCTCTATTGACATGATGGGAATCTCCTAGAGGGTCATGAAGCTGTGCTGCCCAAGAGGGAGCTCCTGGCACAGGTGGCAGGGAAGCACCTTCCACCTGGCTCATCTGGACTGAGATGCGCTATAGGGCTGACGCACACACTGGGCTGGAAGACTCAGTCTGGAGACAGGAATATATGAGATCTCAGTAACAAAACTTTCATATAGGCTACATATTGATCTAATGATATTTTGGGTATATTGGTTAAATATATGATTAGACTTAATTCCAACTGATTCTTTTTAAAATGTGGCTGCTAGAAAATTTAAAGTCACTTGGGTGGCTCAGATTTTTAGGGGAGGGCAGCATTGAAATATTTCATTCTTAAATAGCAAGCTCACTCTTCAAGGTCTGCCTTCCAGAGAGGTCACAGGGCTTCAGCATCCAGGGGTCCCATTCTACAAATGGGTTAACTAAGACCTAATAAGTTCAATCCTTGAACAAACATCACATTCGGGAGTCAGAACTGTATTCCTGTCCCTTCTTCTACCACTTTTCTTTTTTTCCCAAGTGAAAACCCTCCATTTGTTTAAATCTCTTCACAACAGGGCTTAGAGAGCGTCCATATCCTGCTCACAATTTAGTTTGCCAATAAGCATCCCATCCCAAAGCAAACACAATGTTCCAGATATAGCCTGACCAATGTTAGTTCACCAGTTATTACACTGGCACATAAATATTCAAACAATATGTATGAGGCTGATCAAACCAAGGAGCCTGCCCTTCCTGAATGAGGATGTTAACCTTAAGGGGAAAAAAAAGCCAATACAACAGGGAGCTTGCTCATCCCAGCTGTGCTCAAGCCTCATCATTGATCCGTGGACCCCCCGGGAGCATGTCGTTTCTGTGGGTTTGCTCATTCCATTCACGTGGCACCTGAGATTGCCCTCTGACCATCCGTGGTGTTCCTGAGACTCTCCCTCCGTCATATGCCTGACATATGATTGCAAGCATCAGATCTCAAACACCACCTTAGCCATCTCATTGCCTGAGCCAATATGGACAAAAACAAGGGAATCTTTTCGTGGATAATGGATGCTCAAACTGATTTATGTCATAGGAAAAAAATTCTCAAGAAATGACAATTTAAGCACTCAGGCAGCTAAGTTATGATTAAAACCCCAAAATATTAACTTCTTCTTAAACACACATACTTGAGTAGGAAAGCATTTTCAATAAAGAATCACACATTTTAGGCTGATTTTTAAGTTATAATGAAAGATCTTTTAATATCATGCTTGACACACAGCAGTGGCCAAAACTGAGGCTCCCTAATGCATCAATGTATGGAAAGGAAACAGACACAACATGCTTCTACATATGTGCTTCATATCTCTTCTATCAGTGACTCCTTCTTTATAACCTGGGAATAGTACCAGGACGGGTTATACAATAACTGATCTGCTATCATTCTCCTTCTTTATTCTAAGATTCTTGAGACTACAAAGAGCAATGACTTTGCCCTCAAAAAGTTTTTGCCTTGCAAAAACTTGAATCAAAAGGGTAGATGCTGGAAGATCATTTGCATTTGAATCTCTGTTCTATTTCCCTGCTGTACAGCCAGGAATATTGTATGTGTGTGTGTGCGCTCTGCACCTTACTTCCTCATATGTAACAATGTAACATATGCATAATAATTGTGATCTCTTGGAGTTGCTGAGAAGATTACATGATATAACACACACTCACACACACACACACATACAGGTTGCTATATATTTGTATTTTTATCTATTATAGGATAGTCCCTGACACATGGTACCCACTACATAGAGGTGTAGTATGAATATCATCTCCATCCTCATCTAAGAATTAGTAAGAATTAGGAAACTAGCATGGCATTAAATTAGAAGCATTAGGATTAACAATGCTTTAAAGTTTGCTAGTAGAGGGGTCTCCATGAAGATGAGTTATTCATCTTCTGATTTTATAATTAATCATCTTCTGATTTTATAATTAATCAATAAAGAGGCATTTCTGAGAGGTCTGCTGTGCCATGTGGGTCACCTCCGAGGCAGGTGGGGATTGAACTCATGCTGAAGTGGCTTTCACTTCTTAGTGCTGTGCTTTAACCCACTGTGTCACCAGGGAGGGCCCAAGAGGCATTTCTGAAGGCTAAAAACAAAACCTACTTAAATAAAGAAGGTACATAACTTTTTTAAAGAGAAGTCAGGTATTTTTATGACTCAGCTGCTCTGCTGTCTAAATGATTGCCAATTCAAAGTCATTTATGAAAGTAATCTCTTATTTTAGTTAAGCTTGATTATTTTAACAAAGAGTCTCAAGAATAGTGTATGATTTTGGAATTTGTTTTACTAGCTTTGAAAAAAGTCATCACCATAGAACTTTCAATTCAATATTTCAAAGTGTGTTTTAATGGAACACCAAATGAGGTAAGACTTAGGAATTTAAAATAGTTAGTGACTATTGCTTCTTATAATTTCAGGCTTTAATTTCCTTACCTCAAAGATAAAGATTCAGATGAGGTAGTTTTTAAGTTCCCCATCAATGACACATTTGTAATTACCTGTTACTATCAGAAATTTTAAAATATATACTTAAAGAAATTACAATGACTTTGGAAGAAAGGTATCAAGGCTATTAAAACACTGGCCAGTAGCTTTTTCTTCAGAAATGAAAATACTGATCACATGAAATCGCAAGAGACCTCCAGCAGTCAAAAGAATGAAGAAAAAGAATAATTTGGAAGGTTTACACTTTCTAAACTGACTACAAAAGTACAGGGATCAATGAAGTATATTACAGGCCTAAGAATGGATCTGTAGACCAACTGACTAGAATTTGGTTAATTTGTTTTTGACACCGGTATCTGGACCATTCAATGAAGAAAAATTAGTTTATGAAATGGTGGTGGGACAATGGACATCTATATACAAAAGAGTGACGTTGCATCCCTTCTTTATACCTTACACAAAAATTAGCTTAAAAGGAATCAGACCTAAATATAAAGGCAAAAACTACATAACTTTTTAAAAGACATGCAAAGCTTCATGATTGTAGATTAATTCTTAAATATGACACAAAAAGCAAAAACAACAACAAAAAGACAAACTGGATTTCATCAAATTAAAATAGCAACAACAACAACTCTGAGCAAAAAGATTACCAAGAGAGTAAAAGACACCCTCTGGGAAGGGTAGAAAATATTTACAAATCTGATGGGGGTCTAGTCTCCAAAATAAAGAACTCTTGCAACTCCAGAACAAAAAGACAATCCAATTAAAAACACTCCAAGAATGGACATTTCTGTAACAATAGACAAATGGCTGGAAAGGAAAGATGCACAGCATTATTAATCTCTAGGGAAATGAAAATCAAAACCACAATTATATACTTTATGCCCACCAGTATGGTTGTCAGAAAAGAACAAAGCAGAAAACAAGCAATGTTGAAGAAGCAGAAAAATTGAAGCTCATACTTTGTTGGTGGGACTACAAAATGGAATTGCCATTGTAGAAAAATATTTAACAGTTCCTCAAAAAGCTATTCTAGGTATAGACCACAAAGAATTGAAAACAGGTTTATAATAAAAACTTGTTATGTGAATGCTCATGGCAGTCCTATTTACAATAACTGAAAGATGGAAACAAATTAAATATCCACAAAGAATGTGGGATATATTTACACAATGGGGTATTATTCAGCCACAAGCATTGTGCAGAGTAACAGACCTGACACAGGACACGTTGAAGCATTCTCCTTACATGAGCTATCAGGCCCCAGAGACATCAGATTTAGTGCTATTCCAGGAACTGGGGTGCAGGGTCTAGAAAGATGTTGCCTGGGGAATGAGGGAGTGACTGTTTAATGGGGACAGGGTTTAATTTTGGGGATGATGGAGATGTTCTGAAAGTAAACAGTAGTCATGTTTGCAAGGAATTCTGAATGTACTGAAAGCCACTGAATTGTACCTAAAATATTAAAATGTTAAATTTTGTGTTATGTGTATTTTATCATAACAAAAAAAAAAAATGAAACCACTGGTTTGCTCTACTTATTACAGACACTGAGCAAATAGTCAGTGTTAGTTTCTAGCACACAGCAGGGAGCTGGGAGTCACATGGGGTGGGGTAGGGAGGTAGGAGAGGATGGCAGTATACCATGTTTCCCCAGCTAATACACATGGCTGTATAATATGCCTTTTTTTTTTTAATATAACTCATTTTTTTAAAGATTTATTTATTTATTCAAATGGAACTGGGGTACAGGCCAGAGATGCGGAGGGTAAGAGGATTCACCAGAGACAGAGAGGGGAGCAGAACAGCAGATTGACAAAGTACACTGCTGAGGGGAGCAGCGGGCAGGTCAGGAGAGGTCTGCCGCGCCATGTGGTCACCTCCGGGGCAGGCGTGGATCGAACTCACGCGGAAGTGGCTTTAGCTTCTCAGTGCTGTGCTTTAACCCGCTGTGCCACCAGGGAGGGCCTAGCTTAGCTTTTAAAATGTGAATTTCAAAAAATTGCTGTGCCATGGAAACTCATATTCAGAAATGAGTATAAATATAAAATCAGATTATTTGATATTTTAGACTATTCAAACTGTGATTTTCATTCATTAACGAGGACATTTAAGTGGACTGCATTTGGGAAATGGTATACAAATGACAAAAAGAAACATGAAAATAATTTCTTCCCGTTATTTCCAAAAACAAAGTTTACAAGATTACAGGATAGTTGGCCTAATTTAATTTCCACACAATTGTATTTCCAGTTACCTTTATAATTGGGACTTGCTCCAAGAATCCAGGGAGCAGATGCCACAGTGACCCCGTTTTTCTGCCCTGAGCTGTTTCTCTGCAAATCTACTTAGTAATCAGTCTCAGCCCTCAACTCTATGGGGGCTGAGTCCTGTCTGACAGTTGAGATGTTCCCTCTGCTGTCGGTCTTCAGACCCCTGGCAAGCAAGGGACCATTACTAAACTAGCTCATCAGAGCATCCCCAGCATGGAGCCCCATGCCATGGACATAAAGTAGGGACTCAAATATGTGTTACATGAATGAATGGAGCACCAGATGATCTGGAAACAAAATAACAGGACCTACCAGAAGCATTTATCACAGTACAGTAAGTTCTCCCTCTCCTCAACACTAGAACTCAGGACCTGTAGCTTTATTTAAATACTTCTTTGTTTTCCTTCGGTTCCTATTTTCACTTCTTTTCTCCACCTCAGCCCAAAATACAACTGTTCTAATGTGCTAACACACATCTGCGTGTTTATATAAGCTCTTAAAAATTGTATTGCTGGGTCCCAATCCTAGGTATCTACCCAAAAGACACAAAAACACTGATTGAAAAAGATACCTGCACCCCCATGTTTATTGCCGCTTTATTTACAACTGGAAAAACATGGAAGCAGCCCAAATGCCCAAAAGTAGATGACTGGATAAAAAAGATGTGGTACATATATACAATGGAATATTACTCAGCAACCAAAAAAGAGAAGCACATGTTTTTTGCAGCAACTTGGATGGAACTGGAAAAGATCATGCTTAGTGAGATAAGCCAGAAAGAGAAAGAAAAATACCGGATGGTTTCACTCATAGCAGGAGTATAATAGACCAGGTGGAAAATAACAAAAATAATGAACAACCATATACCAGAGGCATTTTGTGGAGGTGGAGTGGGGAATGGGATCAAAAATGGGGTGGGGAGAGGGAAATGCACGGGATTATGGTGATGGCACATGGGTGACTTGGTGATGGGAAACCCGCGGGGATTACAATTGAGATGGAAAAAAAAAAGTGTACAAAATGATGTAAAAATAAACTTTTGTAATAAAAAAAATTGTATTGCTGGGTAAGCACTTGGTTTTGGTGTAGGGTGTTTCAATCTTATTATGGATCTCATGTAAATGGTTGCTGGAATAGCCACAGGTCTTGATGAAAAAGGAAAAATACATTATTGATTACAAGTGTGAATGCTTTCCCTGAAATCTCTGGGGAACAGAAAGGAGGAGATAAATAATGTTAAGGCTGGTACATATATATAGGTTTTGATGAAAAAAAGGCTGCCGATTCAGATGACATCACCATCTTGTCATGTGTGCACTGCTTACACCAGGAATTTAATTTTGCTCAAGGTATTTCCTAACTAATCTTTTGGCCACTCTGAAACAAGCTATTTCCCTTCAGTTACCAAAGGACTTTCACAGGCCGAGTCAAGCACTTTATTTCTTAAAGGAAAGGGATCCAGTTTCCACAAATTGTAGTTGACCCTTGAACAACCTGGGGGTTAATGGTCCTGGTCACCTGGGCATAACTTAACAGTTGGCTCTGTACACTCATTCCATGCCCAGGACCCAACTGACCTACAGCCGACAGTGGTTGACCCTGTGAATGTGGAACACATGGACTGAACTAAATCCATGTAAAACAGACGCAGCTCAAACCTGCCTTGTTCAAGGGTCAACCAAACTGCAAAACTGAAAACAAAACAGGTTCAAACTATCACAATGATTGGTTTCTTCTTATACTCTAATGTCTATTCTTCATTTGGTTAGATGTGATGGGTGAACATAATGCATTTTAATATCAGGACTTTTCAAACGAGTTATTTGGGGACGCAGACTTATTTCAATTTACACAGCTTATGATGCATAATTGGAGACAAGTGTCCTTTAAGCCCCGAACTTACTTTATCATGAGGCTTTGACCATCTATCGCTTCACCATCCCCCACGTCATACTTGCTTGTCAAGTAAAGAGAAATCTCAGTCTTTGAGAGCTGACTTAGTGTATTAGTCTTGTTAGGATCATTAGGATCAATGGCTCCTTCCCCTGGAGAAAAAAAAAAACATTGTCAGTCCTCCAATTCATCCCCAGTGATGGTGGGCATTAGACTATGAACAGGTTCTGTGGGGAAGACAGGTGTGGGTATTGGACAGAAGATCATGATATTCATTAAAAAAAAAAAAAACATAGCCCAATATAGTGCTTAAAGTGCCTTTTGAAATCAGTGATTTAAACATTAGAAAATACCATGGAGAAGATATTCAAAATATGAAAAATTTATATAAGTTGAAAAATATTTTTGAGTGTCTAGAATTTACTTTCAAGAATATCAAATTGATCTACACTCTTGGACACTATAAATTATAAGACCCTTAATGCAGGAAAGGGCTAATATAGGTATTATCCTTGAACTTTAGCAACTTAAATAATTCAATTCCCCCGGAAATGGTGATTTGCTAGGAAAGCCAAACAACTAAATACAAGCCAGAGGAGAAGGAGAAGGAAGTTCTTACCAAGAAATGATTCCACGCTGGGTACGTTTCCCAGCAATTCCAATAGTTCATTCAGTAAGTCTTGTTTGTCGGGGGCAATCGCATCCTGGTGTTCCAACAGGAGCTTTGTACACAAAGAGAAACACAGAAGGTTAAGTTCTCAACTGCTAATATATTTACATAGTTCATTTTCCAGTTTTGCAAAAAATTTTTTCAATATCATTTGAATCTTAAATACGTATAGCAATTACTAGAATTTGAGAACATGGAGAGACCATCTTTGTCTTAGAGGGCCATGAAAGGTGGTCATACGCTCATGCAGCAAGATGTCACAAGACCTGCCCAGGGCCACCATTCTACCATCTAACCCATCTTTATTGAAAAGGTAAGTTTAGGAAATAATTTAAAAGAGAAATTAGTCTTTTGGCCAGCTTTCTGTGGCAAAGCGAAGGACAGTTTCCAATCACTTCAGGTAAAAATCACTCAACATCTCTATTCCCTCGAATAACTATTAGATGCCAAACATTTGTTTGGCACCAAGCGATTCATGGGCGGTGAAGAGCAGAAATGTCCATGTGGTTTTCCTTGGTCTGAAATCTGGATGCACCAGATGCTCCCTACTCCGTCAAGAAGGATCAAAGGTTAGTAACATTGCTGGAGTGTCTTGCCAGGTCTTAGAGAAAACATTCTTAACTCTTGAGGAACCACAGCTTTGAAGGGGAAATCATCAAAGACAATATATCTGTTTCTGTTTGCTTTTAGAATTAACACAATATTTCCAAAGTATGGAACTGGCACTGGAAATATAATTTTAGTTGTTTTGAGTAACTATCTTATACAACTCTGAATCATAATGATGAAATTAGACTTTGTTATTTTCAATCTTTTTGACAACAGCTTTGAAAAATAGTTCATATACCATCATTTAAAATGATACAATGATTTTTTTTTATCACATTCTAAGAATTCTACAACCATCACCACTATCTAACTTCAGGAAATTTTCATTAACCTGTCCATGCCCATTAGCAGTCATTTCCATTAATCCCTCCTTCTAGCCTCTGGAATCCATGAATCTACTTTCTATCTTTGTAGATTTGGGTGTTCTGGATGCTTCATATGAATGAAATCATGCATGGGCTTTGACATCTTCTTTAACTCAGCATGATGTTTTCAAGGTTTATCCGCATTGTGACATGTGTTAATACTCCATTCCTCTTTATTGTCAAATAATATTCTATTACATGGATATATCATATATGATTCATTCATCTGTTGATTATTCAAGTACAAGTTTTTTATTTCTCTAGAGTTTTATCGTATATTAACTCTGTATTTGCTACTTAGGAATTACTAGTTGATTTCCAATGTAGCTGTGCCATTTTACATTTCGACTATCTGCTCAGTTACTCCACATGAGTAACCTGTGCTGCTGTTACCTGACTTTTGGACTCTAGTCATTCTGGTGTATGGAAAATGGAATGCAAATGAAAACTACAATGGGATACCAATGACATGGAACATCTCTTCATATGCTTTTTGGCCTTTTAGGTAATTCCTTAAAACAATATCTATTCAGATCATATATCCATTAAAATTATATTAAGTATTTATTTTTAATTACAGTTCAATCTACATAACCAAATTTGTTAGGTTAACTATTTTTAACAGCAGTAGTCATTCATATGGTTATATACTTATCTCCAGATTTCTTTCCACTTGAAACTCTATACCCACTGCCCTATTCTCCCTTCCACTAGCTACCACCACTCTATATTCTGGCTTTCTGAATTTAACTATTCCAGTCATCTCATCTAAATGGAATAACAATAATTACCCTTTTGAACTGGCTTATTTCATAGAGCATGATATCATCAAGTTTCATGCATATTGGAGATTTCCTTCCTTCCTGTCCTTTGTTAAGGTTAAGTAACATTCAATTTTATGTATCTACCACACTCTGCTCATTCATCATTCATCTATTGATGGGCACTTGGCTTCCTTTCACATGTTGGCTACTGTGAGTAATGAACATGGGTATACAAATATCTCTGACTCTGCTTTCAATTCTCTTGAAGTGCGAAGTGCTAGATCATGTGGTAGTTCTATTTTTAAGTTTTTGAGAAGCTGCCATGCTCTCCTCCACAGCAGCAGCATCACTTTACTTTCCCACAACTGTGCACAAGGGCTCCAACTTCTCTACATCTCCACTAGCACTGATTTTCTGTTTCCACAGTAGGCATCCTAACAGGTATAAAGCAGAATCTCCTTGTGATTTTTTTTTTTTAAGATTTATTTATTCATACAGAACTGGGGTACAGGTTAGAGATGCGGAGGGTGAGAGGATTCACCAGGGACAGAGTGGGGAGCAGAACAGGCAGATCGACGAAGTACACTGCTGAGGGGAGCAGCGGGCGGGTCAGGAGAGGTCTGCCGCGCCATGTGGTCACCTCCGGGGCAGGCGGGAATCGAACTCATGCAGAAGTGGCTTTAGCTTCTTAGTGCAGTGCTTTAACCCGCTGCGCCACCAGGGAGGGCCTCTCCTTGTGATTTTTAATTTAGATGCTGTAACCATCAATGGTGTGAAGCATCTTTTCACGTGTCTGTGGATCTTTGTAGAACTGTTTAATCAAGAGTCCTTAGCTCATGTTTTAGATAGGCTGTTTTCTGCTTTGGCATTGTGAATATTCTTTATAAATTGTATACCAGACATATTATTTGCACCACTTTCTCTCATTCTTTTCAATTTCTTCTTCTTCTTTTTTTTTTTTTGCATAGAAGAACTGGGGTATAGGCCAGAGTACATGGGGTGAAGGGATTCACTAGAGACAGAGTGGCGAGCACAACAGCTGGAACAACTGCTACACACGATAAGGGGAGCAGTGGGTGAGACAGGAGAGGTCTGTTGTGCTATACACGAGGTCTGCTGTGCTCCCCGGCCAGGACTGCACTGGTGATAGTGTGATAGTGCTGATGCTTAGACCCTAGGCTTCCAAGGAGGCCCCTTCAGTTTCTTGATAGCACTGTTTATAGCACATTTTCATATGTTGAGGCTCAATTTTTTTCTTTGGTTGCTTATGTTTTAGTATTTTATCTAAAAAACATTACATAATCCAACATCACAGAGACTTAATCCTATGTTTTCCTCTAAGATTCTTAAGGTTTAGCTCCCTGCATTCAGGTCTCTGACCTCTTTCAAGTTATTTTTGTGTAGCATCACGGAAGGGGTAAAGCCTCATTCTTGGCATGTGTATTTCTAGTACCACCTGATAGGACTATTATTTCTCTACTCTTATAGCTTCTTTAAAATGAACCGACACAATGTTGAAGGGTTTCCGCTAGTCTCTTAGCTCTATCCCCTGGAGCAGTATGTCTAACCCATACTAGTATAACACTGCCTTTATCATTCTCTTTTAATCTTTAGATGAGTCGAATGAGATAGTATTTGTTTAATGCTGGATTTTCCCTCACGCTGCCTGACACCTGTTGATCGAGTTTATAGGAGAGCAGGTCTCAGAGGCACGGCTTCAAGAAAACTACTATATTCATCTATTTACTTTTCATTTCATTCTTTTTATTTACTTTTAAAGTTTCTGCTTATCATAGGGCAACCTACCTTTTTGGCTAACATTAGAGGCATTTTATTTTGAAGCAGAGTAATACTACTCCTTATCAATTTTCTTAAAAGGTGAGTTGATTCAAAGAAAGACTTCATGTAAATAAAAGAGGTGACAGGTCCTCCCTGGTGGCACAACGGGTTAAGGCACAGCACTGGGAGGCTGAAGCCACTTCCGCATGAGTTCGATCCCCGCCTGCCACGGAGGTGACCTCTCCTGACCCGCCCGCTGCTCCCCTCAGCAGTGTGCTTTGTCGATCTGCCTGTTCTGCTCCCCTCTCTGTCTCTGGTGAAGCCTCTCGCCACCCCTGAGCCTCTGGTCTGTACCCCAGGTCTGTATGCACAAATAAATAAAAATCTTTAAAAAAAAAAAAAAGAGGTGACATATATATGATATTTTGTGGGGGAGGTAAGTTAGAGACAGGAACAAAATGAGCAAGATGGATAAGTTTATATTCTTGTTCTCTAAAGGTACAGGACAGCTGACTTAGCTGCTGTCTCTGAAAGGAATGAATCAGGCAATCAGCTTCTACCCTTCATTCTGATAGCATCAGAACATAAAGTTTGGAGATGTCTCCTTAGAGAACTTACTTGGAGGTTTTACATATTCCTCTGAGCAAGTGGTGCTGCTGCATGCCTGTGTCTGCCTGTGAGGACAATTCCTCACTTGAGACAGTAAACAGGAATGACTTCTCAGTTACAATAGTCCCATATTATTCCATTTGCTTCCAACTTAAAACATAAAACAAACAAACAAACAAACAAAAAAACCCCCAAAAAACCCCCAAAAAACCCCACAACCAAAAAACAATCCCAGTGGGCCATAAGCTGTGTTTCCCAGAAGTGGATAAATCTGTTTTCAATTCTTGTTAACAAAAGGAACAGACCACTTCTCCTTAAAGAGTAACAGTCTAAATGAGCACAATACCACTTTTCCTCTGCTGTCCTTGGCAAAATGCCTCTTATTGTAAGATAACTTCACCACTTTTCCTGCATGAGGATACTATCCACAGTTAATGTGCAGCCAACTTGAGGGTTTCTGGATATGGGTCCTCGGCCATAAAAACAGACAGATGGGCCGTTGCTCAATTACAAATCAGCCTATGTGCTCAATAGGAAATTATTTTTTGCAAATGGTGTACTGTTGGACATATTTTCTTTGTGGATGTGTTTAAAGCAAAAACCTATAACCTGGTCACTTAACCCACTCCCTCAGCCCATCATTCAGAACTGCGTTTGTTTGGGGACACTCACAGAACTTATTATTTGTTACTGCTTGTTGCAAATGTCAAGGAGTTCCTTGTTGTGACTCTAACAAAGAAAAATCAAAAGCAATCCAATTTTTCTTCCAAATCCACATTCGAGTTTTTGTTTCTTAGAAGGACTTATTAGTAGACTGAAGTTTTAGGACATTTGCTATTCATGAGTATACCTGGTTTGATGGGGATGTTGAAGCACTTCTGAGAGATTTTTTGTCATGCTTATTACCCCCTTGCTGTGTATATAACCTGAAGTTGGGCCACCCTTAATAGGGCTTCTAGATCTGAGCATGTAACTGAATCAGTGGGATCCTGTCAGATGTAGATCTTGACCTGCAAGGTCTGATGTACATTTCTGACATGCCCATGGGCCTTTCCTTCATGTGCCAAGGGCCAAAACTGGGTCTTCTTAGGTTTACTTTAAGATTTGAAATTTTGGGCCCTCCTTGGTGGCGCAGCAGGTTAAAACACATCTCTAAGAAGCTAAAGCCACTTCAGCATGAGTTCCATTTCTGCCCGCCCCGGAGGTGACCCACACATCGAGGCAGCCCTAACCCACCTGCTGCTCCCCTCAGCAGTGTACTTCCTCGAGCTGCCTGTTCTACTCCCCACCCTGTCTCTCATGAATCCTCTCACCGTCCCTGTGCCTCTGGCCTGTACCCCAGTTCTGTATGCATAAATAAATAAATCTTTAAAAAAAAAAGATTCAAATTTTTTCAGAAAATAAGTTCTTTTTGGTCTTTAAACAAAAAAACTTCTTGCTTAAGCTCTCTTTTTCACTTGGATAGCCATCTAGGGTTTCCAAGGCCAAGCAAGCTGCCCTGCCCTCAGGGGGCTCTGCCAGTGGCAGCTGGTGGGATGTTTGCATCTGAACCAGATGGAGGTTTATGACAGCACAGACTGTGAAATGGGGGTTTTGAGAACAACAGAAGTGATTCTTTGCAGGAGGGTATTGGGTAGAGGTGTCTCCTGCCTCTTCCCTAGCCTCAGGCAGCCTGTTTATTCCCTTTTCCTTCATGTCCAACATTAGAACAGAGAGAGAATTACTGGGAAAGCAGAGAATGCTTAAAGGGGTGGAAAGCAGAGGGCCTCCCTGTGGTCTAGGTTAAGTCCCAGTGTGATGGCCTGAGTTCAATCCTGGCAGGGAGCTGACTCACATGGTGCAGCAGAGACCTCTCCTGTCTCTCCCACTGCTCCCCTCAGTGGTATATTTCAGTCAATCTGCCTGCTCTGCTCCTCACTCTGTCTCTGGTGACTCCTCTCTCCATATTTCTGGCCTATACCCCAGTTCTTCTATGCAATTATAAATAAAATCTAAAAAACAAAAAAGTAGGGGCTAGAAATCTGGAGGGCTGGGGAAGCATGGCTTTGGTGGATGGGGAGAAAACCAGAATTACTGAGGACATTAACTGCATATTCAGACTCTGTAAACAGATTGTGTAAAAGGTAAACTGTCTTTGTTTGGGAAGAGGAATTTCACTAATGTATAAGGTCCGGGAATAAATTATCAAAGATTTTTCAGGATTAAGTGTTTGTACATTAGCATGAGTTTACAGTAGCTCTGCAGAGACTACACATTTCTAAGATAACAGGTCAACAGTGGTCCTTTTCCAAGACCCTTCCCCAGCCCCACTTACTGAATGGGTGTTGATGATTTCTTCGATCGAGATATAGATGACTGGTTTGCTGACCATCACCACATCTGTGTATTTATCCATATTGAACTTTTCTTCTGGCTCAGGGACGTTGCATGCTTCTTTGAAATATTTCCTAACAAACACAAAGACAGTCAAATCTGTGAACTGAGTTGCTTCACTGCAATAGTGAGGAAATATTGGATGATGACAAGTGAACTCAGGGGATTTATTATACTATTCAGGCTGGTTTCTGATTCTGGGAGCCCAAAACATGTTTCTGGCTGTTGGACCAGCTCTTCTGACAGGAACAGAGAGAGCCACAGGGCCTGGAAGCCCTATGAGTGAGTCACTGTAATCAAATTACAGCTGGTCATTTTGGAAAAAGTTATTTTTCTAAATGACCCCAGAAATTTCTTTCTTTTTTTTTTTAAAGATTTATTTATTTATGCATACAGAACTGGGTACAGGCTAGAGGTGTAGGGGGCGGTGAGAGGATTCATCAGAGACAGAGACAGAGTGGAAATTTCAACCAAAATATCAAGCTATTTCTTGATCTAGAGAAAAATATAACAAGAAAAAGTTCATTAAATTTGTTGCTCTAATGGCACATACTCCTGAGCCTTTAACCCTCTCATAACTTTTCAAAGTTTCTTCTACCAATTTCAGAAAAATTTGAGTTAAGCCTACTTTATTCTCAGTTGATCCAAACATCAGTTGCTGACTAATGGACGGATTGTTAAAGTCTAGACACGCAAACAAATTGTCTGGTCCCTCTAGTATCCAGACTTAAAATATTTGTTAGTTTACAGTGTAGTACATTTAGACAGAGACCAAGAAAAACTTGGGGTATTATGACCATGATTAAGAAGTGACTCTTTGCACAGGTAGAGTAGTTGTTTTATTCTATAAAGCTTTAGATGTTTCATACGCTTGAAGTAACCTTTGGTGTAGTTCCTGCAGCTCACAATGCAGAAATGATGTCTGCCTTCCCTGCTGGAGGCTTTCATGCAGAGTAAGGGGTGGTCTTGCTTCGGGGGTGGGGAGAAGGGAGGGTGGGCCATGTGTCAGCCAGCCATCCTGAAATTCTCGCTAGTTTTTAATTAGTGTTTGAGGGACATAAAGAATAAATATGAGTGTAAGAAGACAAAGAAAAGAATTTATGAAGGGCTGCGAGGAGACTTTTGGTTTTCATTTTTAAATAAGGAAGAGTTGGAGTCACAGATTTATAGTAATTATCTGAAGAAAAAAGGAAGTAGTGGGAAGCTCTAATAACAGATAAGAGTTGCAGGAAACTGACATTATGTTTTTAGCCAGTGAGAGGAACTAAAATTAGCAGTCTGAATCAAAACTTCCTGGAGTTGGGGGAATTTTCTCACAAGAAGCCACCACTTCTAAATAGAGATGAATGATCACGAACTACCTTTGTCAGTAGTTAAGTCATTAATCCAGAGAAAAATTAAGAATAGAAAGTTATAATTTCCAAATGAGGAGTGAAAGAGGCCATGCTTATATTATACCCCATGACCGATGAGTGGAATCATAGACAAGAAGAAAAATGAATATCAAGATAAACGTGCTTCCTGAGAGAGCTTCAAGTGGAGCAAATCTTCTCACTAGATCAGTCCTTTCATGTCCCACAGTGATTAGTGATCGGACTGGAAACATAAGGAAACTCTGTAGATATAAGTCCTACGTGTAAAATTGAGAGGCTAGAGGATAAAACGGAAGGTAGAGATAGAACACACAGACTTAAACACAAGACTTGAATTTTCCCAAGCTCTACAGTTTGCACTGTTTTATACAGATAAAGCAAGTTTTTCCTAATTGAACAAATTCCTAGACAAAATACTCTTCTTAACTTCAACAAAGCAGAAATCAATTACCGTGATGTTTTGATTCTAAGGACTGCTAATCCTGTAGTACATCAGGAAGAATAAACACCTCGTGTTGTAAGCAGCAGAAATTGTAATTTGAGGAAGACTCAATGTATCAGGGTGCTGGGGCCGATGAGTGTGAGTGGGGGCAGCAGACAGCAACACCCTGGTCTGCTCACCTCTGCCTTCTCTTTCCCGCAGTGCCCACTAGAGGGAATGCACCAGTCCTGAGGTCCCTCTGCTCTCCTGCCAACTCCAGTGTGGGTTACAGAACACACGTGTCCTTTGCCCCCTGAAAGTAGAATGTTTCTATTTGGTGTGATTTGATGGGCTGTTTCACGGGGCCTTAGAATGCTACTATCATTAAATTATATGGAAAAATTCTGGGGTGTTCCCAGATGTCAAAAAGAACCTACCACATCATACCAAATCGGAATGGACTGCTTTTGGAGCACAAGGAAAACCTGTATTCTTGTCTACTACCTTGCAAGCTTCTCTAAAATACGAGTGCTCTCACCTGAACTCCTGATATGTCTCTGCTAAATAATTGTTCATGGATGAGAGATGCTCGTTTTCTCCTTCAAATAGCTTGTTGGAGGCTGCATGCTGAAGAACTTTGGCCACGGACCCTAAATTTCTCCTTTGGTCAGAAGTTATCTGACCTCCGGCTGTCATGTCGATGATGTCAAAGCCGTCTGGTGCTACGATAGTGGGGTTCATGTACCGATAGTAAAGGAGGTTTCCAACAATCTGGGGTGATGCAGAAGCAGAGACTATGTTTAAGAAAAAAACTTAAGAGTTTTAGAGAAATAAATATTCATTTACATTTTCCTTGAAAACGGATCATTTCATAATATGAACCTTAACAAGGAGTTAAGGTTAAATAAAGGTGGTGAACACAATTACATTTTACAAATATAGTTAACAAAGTTATTTTAGTGGAAAAATTATGCTTATTGCTTCAAGTGCTCTGAAATTAAGCAGAAAATTTCCAAATTAACCTCAGCATAATCAATAATCTTGACAGTCATTAGAAATAGATGATTTACAGATTATAAAAAGTCACATATGGGGGAAAAAAATCTTAGGAAATGGTATGTTGGTAATTTTAACCCCCAAGAGAAGCTATGATGAGATTATTCTTGAAAATCTACCTTTAAGAGCTCATCTTCTGTTGCATCTGGAAATTTCTCATGGATCGAATTCTTCAGTACCTTGGCTATATACCTCAATCCATAACTACATGTAAAACAGATGACAAAAGAAAATAATGGAAAAAGGCTAAGTGAAGTAGGATATAGCATTTGCTCCAATCAACTAAAGCTGAGCAGTTCTACAAATTAAACATAAAATGAGATGGTGAGAGAGTCACAGGACTTTCACTGATCATAACTGATAATGTTTGTTTTGTCCCAGCTTTAGAGACCAATTAAACCCAAATACAGGCAAAGTTTAAAGGAGTAAACACAGTATGCGGGAAACTCCCTATCTTCACTCTAGGAGTTTTACATAGTATTTCAAGAACTTTCCACTAAGAATGCTGAAGTTGCTACTTATATATAACTTACGGCAGCAGATCAAGGGAAGAAATGATAGAATTCAGAACTTTGTCGGTGACCCTCCTCAGATTCTCAATGGATGCTTCCAGTTTATTTTTCACTTCTGGGTATGTCAGCGCTTGCTCTGTGGTCACATCATAAGGCAGCTTGCTGAAAACACACACAAAAAAGACTTTCGATTAATCAGGAGATTAGGAACAAGCATTTTATCCTTGCTGAGTTCATTCTACAGTCAAGTTTGCACACCCTGGAAGGACAAAGAGCAGGGGAATGGATGGTCACAAGCTTCTGGACGCTCAGCAGGTCTTTGATCAGCTTCCCGATCCCCTGACAGAAGTGGGCATTGATGATTTCACTGGTTTCCTACCAGATCTTTTGTGCAGAGGATCTTTTCTGCAGAGGATACTCCAGACATGCCTCTTCTTAGACCTACGCATATTCATTCATGGCTGCATTCTCAGTGCCAAAAGGAGAGCAGACTCCACAATGAGTATCCTGACTGTCCCCAACAGTTTGCCATTATAAACAGTGCTTCCACAACCACCAGACGATTCTCTTAGAATAACTTAATTATTTCCTAAGATATCCTTTGGCAGGAAATATAAGCTTGGGATTGTTTGCACTGACACTAATTAGAATAAGTCAGTCCTAGCTGTTTTGTTAATGGTAATATGCTAATATTACTTACTTGGTAATCATAAAAAGAAACACTATTAGGTAAAGAGAAAGTATGAGCCATTTCTAGTTCTAGTTTTAAAAACACACAAAGGATAATTGAGGGAGGCCCTCCCTGGTGGCGCAATGGGTTAGGACACAGCACTGCAAGCTGCCCACTGCCACTTGAGTGTGAGTTCCCCAGCCCCAGAGGTGACCCACATGGCGCAGCAGACCTCTCCTGACCTATTCACTGCTCCCCTCAGCAGTGTACTTCATCAATCTGCCTGTTTTGCTCCCTGCTCTGTCTCTGGTGAATCCTTTCACTGCCCCTATACCTCTGGCCTGTATCCCAGCTCTATATGCATAAATAAATAAAATCTTTTTTTTAACTAAAAAAAAGTAACTGAGGGAGAGAATTATAGAAGACATGATTTGGGGACTAAGTGATACTGAAATGTAAAAATAATAAGATGGGCAGAGTCCAAGATTGTGACCTGCATGGGTAGACTACAGGGAGGTAACATCTCTTTATATAGTAAATTTTGTTCTCTCATCACAATTTAATGGAAAATAGAAATATCCATGTAAAAATGATCATAAAACATGATTGAAAACCAACCTCTCCCTTGCTCTGTTACCTGGCCTCTCCAGTCTGTGTTTCCAGCTGGTTCACCCAGGCTTTGTACACATCTACGGGGCTGGTGTTGATGATCAGGGACTCGTCGTCGATGATCTCCTTCACCACCGGAGCCAGGAGCTGGCGTAGCGTGCTCTGCCCACGGGCTCCTCGGTTGAAGCTGACAACCATCTTGATTACTGTAGGGTTTCCAGTAACTATGTCCTGAACCTGGTCCACCTTTGATCTGAAAACCAAAAACAAAACAGAATGCTCTGCTTCTTTGGATGGAGTTTTAGACAGTGCAGCTGGTCTCTGGTAGGCAAGAGGGGCTATAATTTTATGTGAAGCTAAAAGTGTGATTTATTTAGAAGGGAAGAATAATTTGTAGGGCGAATGTATCATATTTGAGAATTTTAAGGGTTTAAAATAACTCTTCAACCTTAATTTCAATTTCAAAGGCAGGTATGGGCTGCAGGTGGCCCAAAATTATATAGTACTGGGTGACCTTGGATGTAACATGCCCCCCTCTAGTAAACAATTTAAAAAGTAACTTTCCATTCCTTCGAATCCCACTCAAATTTACGACAATGCACTTCAAACTATACCACATGGTTCTTTTTGACCTCTGAGTACCAACTTCTGCGACCTTCCTTACCCTTCATTTCTGCGTAATCTTCTCACCCTAAAGCTTGGCCACACTCTCATCCTCTAGGGTCCTCATCATACCTACTTAACTACTTGTTCCTTATGCCTGTTTTGCTGGTTTCTCTAACATTTCAATTTGATTTTCTTTTTCTTCCTAGAAGCTTTTTCCTCCACGCTCACTCACATGCCAGCTTCAACTACCACCTCTGTAGGCTATATCCTCTCAATCTAATCCATCATCTTCTTCCTGAAAGTTAGTCTTGAGTTTCCAGCTTTCCGCTGCATATTTTCACCCACACAGTCTATAGCTTACACTCCTACTAAAAATCTCTATATAAAATATTCAAATTATTTTTTTGTTCTGATTTTCCTAATTTCTCTGACATGTATAGCTCTGTTTTTTCCTGTTCAAGCAGGCAATGGATGAATCTTCCAAAAAATCAATATGGTCCTGATAATAACTTGCTCAGAAACCTTTAACACATTCCCAGAAAACAAATAAGAGTTTCAGTACTTGATCCTGTTTTCTGTGTCTTCCATGAGCTGACTAGACCAGTCATTCCCACTTCATCTCCTGGTGGTTACTAATTAAGTCATATTTTAGTTGACTAATCTACTTTCTTGCACTTTGGTCATGTGGTGTCTATCATCCGTATGCTTTATTTCCTCTTTTCATCTCTTCATATAAAAACTGCATGTGTTGTTCAAGGTTTTGGTTCAACTAGATCCTCTTCTATAACATCTTACCAATCTAATTGGAACATTTCTTTCTACCCCTTGATCTGTTACACTGTACATATCACTCATTTAGTACTTATCTTCACTGTACAGCATTGTTATTTTTCATGAATCTTGCTTCTCACTCTGGCTTACAGACACCCTGAGGGCAGAGGTGCTAGCTTTTGGAAATCCCTAAAAACCAGCATAGCTTAAGGTATCAATAAATCAGGAGGCAATTAAGGTTCACCAAGCTGGCTAAGGGCTTTTTTGACTCATTCTTCAGAGCTACCTATATATTTTACATGAACTGAATTATAAGATAAATTAACAAATGGCAGCTTAAATACCAGCAAGAAGGGAAGATTATTTAGCAGAGACTGTTAGCCTCATTCATTTGTTACTCAGAATTTCAATTGAGTTCAATTTTCTTACTGGTTTTAATGATCTTTTGATTTTCTGTTGTTGTACACTTGAAAAATCAAAAACTAATCTAACACTAGAAAAGATACCATTGGTGGGCGAAAGATGTATCTGAATATACATATAATGATGTAGAAATTGTGCAAAGAAGTTGATAAATTTTAATAAGCTTAAAACAGCTTACAAAAATAATTTTTCTGTTATTGTAATAAACAAATTGGAGAAAGTTAACATTAGCAAAAGCTATTCACTGGTATTTTTACAGATATATTTATATACATACTGTATTTCTTCTTCCAGAGCAGTTTTGAAGAGCTTAAGGAGTAGATATTCTTCTCGCTGATTGGAAGCATAATTGTATAAAGTAAAAATAACAGTATCCATAAATTTAGTTGACTTATTCTGTGGCATCTGGAAAATCAGTTTAGCCAGGTATGTAGGGTTGGTCTAAAAGGTAGGCAGGAAGGATAAAAACAAAATAACCAAAACTATATGTTAATGTCTCATTATCATTGCTTTTCAATGACTTAATGCATACAAAGTATACAGAAGGCTACTGGTATATAGTAAGTTTTCAAAAATTATCAACCATGCTAATGTGATATTATAGAAAGTTGTATTGGAAAGTTATGATAAGATTTAAATGTTATATAATACATGATATACATAATATAATATTATTTTGTACACCTTACACTGTTAACTCTTCTGATCCACATATTAATAGTTATTATAAAGACACAAAAGAGAGACAGAGTGGCTGATAGATTCTGGTATCCAAATATTAAATAACTAAGAGCAAACTTAACAAAGGTGAAGGACTTATATAATAAAAACTAGAAGACACTACTAAAAGATATAGAAGACACAAAGAAAAGGAAAGATATTCCCTGCTGATGGATTCCAAGAATTGACAGTTAAAATGGCTATCTTACCCAAAGCAATATACAGATTCAATGCAATCCCTATTAAAGTTTCAATGGTACTTTTCAAGAAATAAAATAGACATTATTGAAGTCTACATGACACTACAAAAGACCCAAATAGACAAAGCAGTCTTGACAAAAAAGAGGATGAATGGTGGTACTTCAGGTCCAGCCTTTAATCTATATGAGAAGGTTATAGTAATCAAAGTAATATGGTATGGGAACAAAAATAGACACACATACCAATGGAATAGAATTGAGGGCCTAGAACTAAAACCACACTTATATGAACAGGTTTTTCTACAGCAAAGGAGTCAACAGTACACAAGAGAGAAAGAAAAGTCTCATGCACAAAATGGTGCTGGGAAAACTGGACAGGCAAAACACTCCAAGAGTGTTATCCAATGGAAAGGGAAGCAAAAGTAAAAATATAAAAATGGGACTGTATCAGCTTAAAAAATGTCTGCACAGTGAAAGAAACTACTATTAAAATACATCTTACTTAGTAGAAGAAAATAATCTGCATATCATCATCTGAGAAGGCGTTAATATTCAAGATCTCCAAAGGTCTCATGCAACACACACACACATACAAACTCTCTCACACACACAACTCAATTAAAAAATGGACAGAAGAACTAAACAAACACTTCTCTAAAGGAGACATACAGATGGCCAACAAGCACATAAATGCTCAAAATCACTTATCATGTAAATGTAAATCAAAGCGTCAGTAAGATACCATCTCACACCTGTAATGATGGCCCATAAAACCATAAAAGAAAGTGTTGGTGAGGATTTGCAGAAAAAGAAACCTTTGCACACTGTTGGTACAAATGTAAAATGATCACACCCCTATGGAAAACAGTATGGAGGTATCTCAAAATATTAGCAATAAATATGATTATATGGCCTACAAATTTGACTCCCAGGTACCTACACAAATGATACAAAAACACTAATACAAAAGGTTGTAAGTTCACTGTAGCATTATTTACAATAGTTATGCTCTGGAAAGCAATATAAGTGTCAAACAACAGAGTGGATTAAGAAGATGTGAGTACCTATACACAAGGAAATATTATTCAGCTATATATTAAACAAACAAAGAGATAAGTTGGTGCCATGGATGGAATTTGAGGGTATGAAGCTAGGTGAAATAAGTTAGAAAGAGAAAGACAAATACCAGACATGTACTATAGAGAAATAAAACATTTAGACAAAACTCAACCAAAAACAAACCCTCGAAATCTGACTGTAAGACTGAAGCTTCCTTTGTGGGAGGGAAGGGTAGACAGCAAAAGTGTGAGGGAACCCAGTGGACTGTTGAGTGCCTTGGCTATGAGTGCCTTGGTGCTGGGTGTGGTGTCATAACATATAACTGAAGAGGTGTGATCCTACATTTCTGAATTATATCCAATATTGTAAATCAATGTTATCTCAATAAAAATATATATGTCCAAAGAATCTGGCATCTGACAAGATAGGTAAGAAAGGACTAAAGATTTAGTTAAATGCACTTTCCGTGAAAGATTAATCATGGGTATTAGAAATATATCTGGTATTGTGAAACTAGAGGGAACAAGGGAAGGGAGCACATGAGGATGGTGGGATGGCCATGTTTTATGAGGAGTGAAGAAGTAGGTGTGAGGTAGGAATGCTGAAGAAGGCAAGGAGAATTTCTGGGTAAATGTCAAAATGAACTGGCAAGAAAAAATACAATTTAAAACATACACAATTAAAAACTGACATGGAGCCCTCAGTTGAGGGTGGGACCCTCTAGAGGCTGCCTTCATGGAAATGTGAAGACTCCAGCAGCTACCCAATCAGGTGGAGATTAGAAGAGAAAAAATAGTATTTAAGCAATAGGAGAAAGTTTTCACAGAGAGGAAATTAATATTCCTACTCTTTATCTTCCTTCTGATAAAAATTTTTTTCCAGACACAGAAACTAGGATTCATCTAATATACATAAACAGCCTCAGTTAAAGTTTTTAAGAAAGCCCAAATTCTGATTTACTACTTAGATTTACTTTCAATCTCAAGACTGCTATACTTTTATGACTAAGCCTCTCAGCACAATGTTCTAGAGCTCTATCGTGATTCTTTCCCCCACACCAAGTATATGGTATTATGAAAAAACAAACATACTCTCCTGTTATATAGCCCATACATCATTCCTGTCACATGACCTAGAAACTTTTAATTTAGGCTTATGGTGAAGAAACAAATCCAAAGCAATACCTTCACTAGCTGACCTGTTGCTTTGGCTAAGAATTCTTCCTGGGGCATAATCCAGATTATTTGCTTTTCCATAGTTTCCTTCTTAATCTTAGGTTAATAACATCACCACAGGGAAGAGAAGGGTAAGGGAAATATGTGATTTCAAGAGACACTTGGCTGTGCCCCGGGATGCTGATCTTTGGATTGTTTGGTGGCTAAAACTTGGTGGAATTATTTTAAATATGTTTCTGTGCTTTCCAACACTTCCACCCCCAACTACCACATACACACTCTTATTGATGAGCCTCCACTTATATGACAGGGTAAACTACATAGATCTTAGGCCAATAGCTAAAGTTTCATTTTTCTTATAACACAGGTTCCATTCTAAATCCAACATTAGGAAACTCCTAGGATGCTAAATATACTTGGCAATTCATGGATGCCAAAATGATTAATGTTAGGGCCACCCTGTTGGCACAGAGGTTAAAGTCTCAGCACTATCAAGCTATCATCAGCCACTGCAATATGAGTTCAATTCCTAGCCAGGGAGCTGACCCACATGGCCCAGCAGACCTCTTCCGTCTTGCCCATGGCTCCCCTCAGCAGCATGTTTCAGTAGTTCTGCCTGTTCTGCTCCCCACTGTCTCTGGTGAAGCCTCTCACCTCCCCACTCCCTGTACATCCCAGTTTGATATGTATACATAAATAAAAATAAATGTTTAAAAAATTACTAATGCTAAAGATTAAATTTCCAGTTGGTAGATGATTACTTATCTAATTTAGAAACACTTCCTTGTTTAACATAAGCCTCCTTTCTTTCTGAAAAGGTAGCTGATGTTAAGCAGTGGATTCCTTGGGCAATATTGTGTTAACATTCTTCCTTCTATAATGTGACATGGTAGCCATCAGTGAAATCTGCACCCTTTAAAGACAATTCTTTCCAATTATTTATTCCCAATTATTCCCAATTATTCTCTACCAAAATAAGCACCTTTTTTTCTCAGTGCGATTAGTCACTCCATGGTTTGGGTAACAAATTTTCTGCACACCTAAAGCCAATGATGTCTTCATGTAGAGTCAGGCATCTCCAGGCAGTGAAGGAGTCCCCACAATGGAGGAGTGGCATGGAGGGGACCCAAATCTCATAAAAATGAACTGCTGACCAGCCTCTTGGGAAAGTCTTTCCTATGGAAGGGAATGCTTTATTTCTTTCTATCCTATTATTTATTGCTTCCTTTGGGACAAACTATACATGTGACCAGGGTGGTCAAGGCATATCAATGGCCAAAAATAACTGGTCCACCAACGTCCAAGCATGACCAGTTAAACATATTAGTTCTCACCCACATTGGAAGCAATGGAAAAAATTGCTATTTATTCAGATCATAGCAATGCTATAAAAGGAATGAAATAAAAAAAGAGATCCTGTTTCCCTAACCCCAACCCTCTAGTTCCTTCCCTATAATGGCAGGTTTGTTCTGGTAAAGATTTGCTTTTCACAGACTAAGTTTTTCATGGTTGATAGCATCAGTTTATGTTAGGTTTCTACTATTCCTGCAGACTATTAACATAGTCATAAAGAGCAGGGGCTCGCTCTGAAGTCAAGTTGCTGGATCCCAGGACTGTGTTATCATTTACTGGTAGTGTCTCTGTTTTCTCGTCATAACATGGGAACAACAATTAAAAATTATGTTCTCGTGGTTCCCAAGGTTGTAGTAAGAATTAAGTAAGGTGATGTACATAGAGCACAGAGAAAACATCTGGCACTTAGCAGGTGCTCAAAACACGTCAGTCCTAATAGCTGCAGTGTGGGTAAAGATTCACTGTAAACACAAACACAGAACAAGGTATTATCAAAACTCATACTGAAGGACACATTATTCTCACCTGTAAAAGGTAAAACAGCTGCTGATAAGTTTCTAGCGTTTTCCTCCTCTCTTTACTCAAACTCTTGATTCCCTGGTTATCGGTATTATTCAATATCTGCATTTCTCCACCTTTTTTCTTATTCAGCTTCGTTCTGTGTGAGATTACATCCTGGAAAAAAATTTTTTTAAAATAAAATTACAATGTTTTACTCAGATATTCTTTATCTTCTCCTTTTACAAACATGCTGAACCCCACACACACCGTGGGCAAGTCTCACTCTTCCCATTTCCCCTAAGAGATAACAAAGGAATAGAGAATGTCAAGCAAATTGAGGAAATCTACTTCAAAACTGAGTTTGACCTTGTGATATTTATTTTCCAGAGTTGAACTCATTTGCTCTTAAGAGATAATGTAGATGTCAAGACAATTTAATTGGGAAATAAGAATTTTTTAAAAAAGATTTATTTATTTATGCATACAGAACTGGGGTACAGGCCAGAGGTGCAGAGGCAGTGAGAAGATTCACAAGAGACAGAGTGGGGAGCAGAACAGGCTGACTGATGAAGTCAGGAGAGGTCGGCTGTGCCACGTGGTCACCTTCGGGGCAGGGACTGAATTCTCACTGAAGTGGTTGCAGCCAGTTTGCAGTGCTGCATCCTAGCCTGTTGTGCCACCAGGGAGGGCCATATTCAGGAGCTATTATGAGGGCACTACACATGCTGTGGTGGGTTTGGTCCACATGTGGCCTCTGCAGGGGAGCTGAGGTGCTGCTTCCCTGTAGCTTCTAGGGGGGTCCTGAATGACAACCATCCCACCTGAGCATGGCTAGATTCTGAATGTCCTGTTGGTCATTCATGGAATTCAAAGCTCTGTGTGTACTACCAGAATCTGTTATAGGTAAATTATGTATCTCCTCTACAAATTTTAATATGCATTGCATTTCTAGGGCTGCAATTCTGTATAATTGTGGAGGATACCACCCTTTTAATATTCTGAACTTCAGATTTTCATCATTTTGGAAAATGAATAACCAATAGTTCTTCCAACTCACTCATCCATGTGTCTCAACTGTGGTAATTCTGTGAAGAGGCCCAAGCCTCTGGCAACTTGACCACATCTTCTAATGGCATCGGGTCTATGTGATTTTCATTTTGAGATATGTTATTATAGATTAATCTTTTTATTTCTTTTATATTCATATAAAGGCCATATGAAGATATGTGAGTAGCTTTTATTTTATATAAATTTTTTTTTTTCCAGAATGAAAAAGGCTTTACAAAATATGGTCCATGAGGAGGGGTTCCTACAGTTTTGCAGGTTTGGGAACCACTAATTTTTTTTTAAAGATTTATTTATGCATACAGAACTGGAGTACAGGCCAGAGGCACAGGTGTGGTGAGAGGAATCACCAGAGACAGAGTAGGGAGCAGAACAGGCAGATCAACAAAGTACACTGCTGAAGGGAGTAGCGGGCAGGTCAGGAGAGGTCTGCCACGCCATGTGGGTCACTTCCCGGATGGGGATCAAACTCATGCTGAAGTGGTTTTAGCTTCTTAGTGCTGTGCTTTAACCCACTGTGCCACCAGGGAGGGCCTATGGAACAACTAATTTTTAAGAAAAATGGTAAATGATCTTCTGGATTCCAAATGAGCTGGTGAGGGCCACGGTGCAGTAACCAAGCATATGCACATCCTTTCTCTTCTGGGACCCCAAAGTCACCAAACCCCACTGACCTCTAGTGTGATCCTGTTCTTTACCAGGAGCCCGATCTTGATGTCCATCAGGTTCAGGTCTTTCTCTAGCTGTTGATTGGCCCTGATCTTGGTCACTACTTCTTCCCGTAGTCGTGCTACCTCCAGCTCCTCCTGGAAATCCAAGTCACTTTGGTCCAACAGGTGTACAAATTTGCGGATTACTGATAATGGTGGGTTTTCAGAGCCAACTGCAGGCAAAAGAACAAGCATACTTGGGATAATCATCAGTAGAATAGAAACCAGGTCTTTCAATAGAGCACCGACAGAAAAGAGAGAACAATGTATAGACTTGGTCTCTGGAGTGAATCACTCTACCTCATGTAAAATCTGGTCAAGGAAACCAATTGATCACATAAATAAATGCACACCACTGATAAGGTGTGGCCTCACTGTCTTCTAGCTATCTAATATCCACTTACCAGCCCTCGCTCACACTATTTCCAGGATGCAGGCACTGAGAAGATAGCTCTATCTACCCATGCTTCACTGATGAGGAATCTGGGAAAGAATGTTAACATGAGTGACTTCAGCTCCGAGTGCTTGTGGTTCAGTCAGATAAGGAACTTGTGTTTTTACTGCAGGAAGCAGACAGTCGGTTCAAAAGAACCAACCATTCCCAAAAGACCATTGGGAAGAAATTGGAACGAGGTGAAAAGTAAATTAGAAAAGGTCAAAGAAGAGAAAAGTAAAGGCCAAAGAGGAACTTATGCGATGACAAGTGGAATAAATGTTCTAGTAGGAAGAAATAAAAAAAGATTTTAGAAAATGCAATTTGGTCCTTGTTCTTTTTTTTTTTTTTTTAAAGATTTATTTATTTGTACATACAGAACTGGGGTACAGGCCAGAGGCTCAGGGGCGGTGAGAGGCTTCACCAGAGACAGAGTGGGGAGCAGAACAGGCAGATTGATGAAGTACACTGCTGAGGGGAGCAGTGGGCGGGTCAGGAGAGGTCTGCCACACCATGTGGTCACCTCTGGGGCAGGCGAGAATAAAACTTATGCAGAAGAGGCTTTAGCTTCTCAGTGCTGTGCTTTAACCCGCTGCGCCACCAGGGAGGGCCAGGTCCTTGTTCTTTTAGCACGGAAGGAGGGAGGGCACCAAGAATCTGGAAGACCAGCTTCAGGCACTGAGAGGTGCATTTATATCAATTCTGAATGGACTTTACATTAGTGTCATCTCTGAAAGATGAGAATGTTTCTGTTTTCCCTTTTATTCATAGTTCCAAAGTTTCTTATATGAACATGTTTCATTCTTAAAGTGAGGGGAAAATCATGAGTCAGCTGTAATATAAGCTTATTCTTTGGTTAATTGTCTTGCATTAGATTTCTGACTCTAGCTCAAATGTAATATGAAAATGTTGGCATTGATGCCCATTCCATTCTTTTTGAAGTATCCATTCCACTCAACCCTCTCCATTATAATATGAAGCCCCATTTCCTGCTATATTCATTTGTGTGGCAGAACTTAAGTGCCTGAGATCATCAAAGTCTCCTGGACACAGTGGGCATCCTCAGTTCTTGGAGTAGCCACTGACATGACTAAAATGGAAACAACTTGTCACCTGGTTTATAAGGAAGCTGCTGTTTATTTCAGAACACTCCCACTTACCCAGTGTCTTGTAGTCATCTCTAGCTTTGCTTGCTCTCAATAGCGACTGTATTTTTATAATTTCATTTCTCTGCAAAAGATGGAGACCAATTATAATCTTCTAGTTTCCCATCTACTGCCCAATTTTAGAACTCAACTATTTAAAAGTTCATAGGATTAAGAACGGACACTCTAAAGGACAGTCAGTATTCATGTTTTCATTCAATTTTGCATTTTCTTTCACAAAAGGGTTTGATAAATGAGCTAAACAAAACTGTACCAAGATTATTTAAATACAAAAATTCTAGAAAGGGAAAAGACTTAGCACCAAAGTCAGATGATCTAATCTAGATATATGTTCACATATCTACTTTTTAAAGAACCTGAAAAATTAATCTTGTGGGCTTCTACATAAATTATTTGGTTAACAGAACAACTGTAAAAACACTGTGGGAAAATACTTCCTCTGAATCTTTTTTCTTCGGCATGACTAGCTCACAACAATTTCCTCTCACACATTTCCTACTTAGTGCAGACAGGAAAAGTCTCACTTGGAACATAAGTTCTGAATTAAAGAAAGTAAGTTTCAAAATATTATCATACTGGGTTCTAAGACCTATTTTTAACTCCTACTACTTGCTTCCATCATTTCATTACAATCATTGTAGGCTAATATTTCAATGAAGAATTCATTACTTGATTCTCAGCCAAGATAAAAATTCACATGTATGTATCTTACATGATCTTGGAAATATTGTAGTCGTGAAAGATAATTCTTTCGTGCTGCTACCATCCGGAACCAGGACTGAATCTAAAAATTAGTTAGAGAAACCAAGACAATTATTAAGCAACCTTTAATATCCTTCATATGCTGTATTTCTAAAAGTGACATTTTATTTGGTAAAAAAGTGAGTCCACCAAATAATATCTAAAACTTATCCATCTCCTACTTCTTTCATTGTTCTAATTAAACACCCGAGTAAGAACTTGTTTCAGGTGTTCAAAAACAATGTGCTACTTTTAATCTTACTGCCTTAGAAGGAAGGAGTAGCGAAGGTAATGTCGGTTTCTATTACTTGCTTTAATGTCAATAGGTAAGTCAAGAGGGCAAGGTATTTTGCTGACAGTTATGAGTCGTCAGGGAATCAAATTAAGTTAAGGGTTTCTTCCAAGATCCCTTAATTGCAGGTCTTTACAGGAAACTATCTAAAGAGGTCTCATGAGAGATCACTGCTTTTCTCAGACAATAGGCAAGTCTCTACAGTGAGCACAGAACATTATTTCGGTAAGGGGCTAATGCGCAATTGGATCTAGACCACACCACCCTCTGTCTTCACAGCTCCAAAGGGCTATTAAACAGTCTCATTTGATTTCAGTCTCTCTCTAATCCTGACTCTTCTCCAGATTTTCCAGTTGAATCCAGTGTCTTTACTCCATCCTTAGAGCAGTCCATGTGAGTTGCACTGGCTCACTCCCCAGGTCCTGACTCAGCTTGACTTCCTCTTGTTTCTGGTTTTGATATGACTTACAATTAAAGTTCTATATTGTTAAAACTGTGAGCATTCTAAATATGGTGAGAGGGATATGAAGCTTCTTTCTCACTTCAAAGCTCATATATACTCTTTCTACAGTCTGTCTTCCAGAAGCAAAACAAAATGAAGGGAAAACACTTGATAAGGTAGGAAAGTATACTTACCTTCACAATAGAAGGAACGTTATCATGAAACACTTTCTGCCTTTCAAGATATGCGGTCTGTTGTTGATGTCCCCTCCAGAAAGACTGGAAAATAGTGAGTTACAGATTTCATTATGTGCAATGTCCCCCACAGTTTATTTTAGAAAGCCTAAGAGCAGAGGGGCTGTCAGAAAACAACAATGAGTAGGAATACTGTCAGGGTCTCTCCTGCCAAATCTCATCAGGACACTGTCTTTGGGGATGGACATTAAAGTGAGGAGCACACATTGGCTCACAGCTGATGCTTGTTCTGTGCATGGAAAAGCAGAGTAGTTAGATAGTAGTAGCCCACTTCCAGCTCCAGAGCAGAAGTAATAAAAAAATGGAATTGCCCTGAAATACACATGAACTGGGTGCTAGTATAATTTGCTAACACCTAATGATGCTTCCAAACAATAACTGAAACATATCTTTACTCCAATAAATGGTCCCTGCACTCCAGACAAGGTAGGAAGATATTCTATGAATTTGTGACTATGGCTTCTTGACAGTAGCAGCGCTGTGACATAGCATGCATTATTTTATGTGTTTCTACATCAAGTTTAATGATGTTTCACCAATAATACAGTGTCACCCTGTTATCACTGTTACAGAAAATTTCTATAGGAAATATATACAAAACCAGGATACAAACTGATATCTTTAGGAAGACTGAGTTCATAACTGTAAAGCTTATTCCAACTCACTTATGAGTATTTTTTTTTATTGTAACATTACTTACCCCAATTCTTTCATTTTTGTTTTACATATAAGAAATTAAATACACATTTCTTGTTCAAAAAGGACAAATACAAACATCAAATTCTCTTTATGTTTCTTTTCATGCCTGCATATATTTATATAGTTCATGCTTACAGATATGCATATGAATCTACCTCTCTCATTCTTTTTATAAAAAAGTATGTGGAATTTTATTATCCCTTTTAAAATAATATGCTTTTTGGGTAGTTATTCCAAACAAAGCAGTCAGGATCAAATAGGAATGTTCAATCAAGTACTTGCTACAGATTTCCCTAGAAATGACAAATATGAGTTTAGAGCTTCATCACATACCATTGATTTAGCTACTGACATGGGCACTTGGTTTTTCTCTTTTAGGCTGATATATGGTGAAAGTGAATTTTACAGGACAGTAAACTACTTGAAGATTTAAAACAGGTGTGAACTTAATAGCACTTTTCAAACTTTCATGTGTACAGGAAATCATCAGGGACCTTTTTAAAATGCAGATTAAGAGTAGTGGGCCTGAGTAATGTTTCTAGGTAATGGCAACGCTGATTCATGAGGTCTACACCTTGAATAATAAAGACAGAAACAAAATTAAAGGATTTTAAAGTTATCATTCATTAAAGAAATAGCACCATGGGGTTTTCAGGTGGGGCATTTTGGGGATGAGATGAGATAGAGAAACAGCTTTCTGATGTCACCAACAATTAAATTGTTCATATAAGTGGCTCAACAGCACTATAGAGTCAGGGAAGTGACCCTAACCTTGGGTCACTGGCTCCTACAGCCATCTCATTAATCATATTTATTAAGATGGGTCTCAGAGGTTTCATATATTTTTCTGTGCTCTTTTACAGCACAGAGTACAAATGTGCAAATATATATCATACATCCCATTCTATGTTCCAAATGGAAATGCAAACAAGATACTGGGATTGGTCCAGGAGTTATCTAAATCCAGAAACACTATTAATTTCTATTCGCTCAGATTCACATATACAGGATAAACATATACAGGATAAACATTCTGGATAATTTCTGTCATAGTAACAGGAGATATAATATTGAAGCATTTGTGCTTTGGTGTGAAGAACCCACTTGCTCATTCTGTGCCACTTTTAAAATGTATTAAAGATTCAATACCCAAACAATATTTTCCTTGAAACTTAATTTTCTATTTCATCTCTTTATGTAGCTTTTTTTTCTGGAGTTCTTCTATATTTATAATATTTTATTTTTACCTTCCCAAACCAAGACAACTTGGCTGGGTTTCTGATTGCAATAAGAGGAGGTACTGTGTGCACTTTGTTTTATTTTTCAAACTTTTATATTCTTTTTCAGTTTGTAAGTTTTTGCGCCCTTAAAACTGGCTTAATTCTGTACTAAGACTACTTCTGTGTCGAGCCACATTATAGGCTTTTCTAATTAGAGACTGTTTATGAAAAGCAATTATGGGTTAAAAGATGGGAAGAAGGAGCTGTTGATAACAATGCTAATGGTGACAAAATTGTAAACCATAAAGTCATTTAGAAGCAGTTTTATAGGAAGCAGGCATTTACAAACATACCCGTTTCCTTCTCTGGTAGGAGAACTTGTGGGAAAAACTCTAATAGCCATCCTTGTGTGTGTGTGTGTGTGTGTGTGTGTTTTAACCATAAATACATTGTGTTGCACATCTGTAACAAGTTTTCAAAATCTTTAGACCTCAGAAGCTATTTCTTGTTTTATGATAAAATTTTCAATTTCTATAGACGGTCTGCTGCTAAACTTTGGTTGCTTCACTTGAGAACTGAACACCCAGGACAGTTAATATTCAAATTACCAACTCTGGACTTGTAAAGCACACATGTGTGTGTGAACATTCTGTTGGTCAAGAAGCCCTACACATTGATTACTTTTCTCTCTTGGCTTTAAGCCCCGTCATGTACACTGTACTTTATGCTAAAGAAATGTGGGAAATGGCTGTCCTGTGAGCTCACCCCTTCCTGCAGCCATGCTGCTGGCAATGGAAAGTTGCTTCACAGAAGCTTGTTGTCTTTGCCTGGATCTCTGGCACTTTCTGACCCATATCTCAATATATAACTCAGTAAGTCCCATGGTTGTTTTGGTATTTGATAGTATTACACTTTACCCCAAATGTGGGTAAAGCTTTTAGTTCAGGAAAAACAAATCATGTAGCTATGTTTCCCTTCAGCGTTGACTTTTCTGATCTCCTCCTCTGCTCTATCAACCCACCTCAATGCTGGATCCCTGTTATCCATCCTCTTAATCATCATCTCTATCACCTCATCATTTCTAACACCTATTGAATACCTAAAAGCTGGGGGTACTGGGAAAATTCAGTTTTGTGAATGATCCCTTTTAATCTTCTGTAAATAATATGGGTAGTATCATTTACAGATGAGAAAAAGTACTTTAAATCCTCCATTCTTTTCCTCAGCTCCATTCTTTTGCTTGATTTTTCTGAAGTTCTTTCTGTATTTATTATTTTTAATAATATAATAGTTTATTTTTACATCATTTTGTGGCTTTCCCCATCTCAGTTGTAATCCCCATGGGATTCCCATCACCAATTCACCCATGTGCCATCATCATAGTCCAGTGCACTCCCCACCCCCCCCATTTTTGATCCCATTCCCCACTCCACCCTTGTAAAATGTCTCTGGTATATAGTTGTTCATTATTATTATTATTTTGTCCCCTGATCCTTTATACTCCTGCTATGAGTGAATCCATCTGGTATTTTCCCTTTTCTTTCTGGCTTATTTCACTAAGCATGATCCCTTCCAGCTCCATCCATGTTGCTACAAAAGGCATGTGTTTATCTTTTTTGACTGCTGAGTAATATTCCATTGTGTGCATGTACCACATCTTTTTAATCCAGTCATCTACTTTTGGGCATCTAGGTTGATTCCATGTCTTTCTGATTGTAAATATAGCAGCAATAAACATGGAGGTGCAGGTGTCTTTTTGAATTAGTGTTTTTGTGTCTTTTGGGTAGATACCTAGGAGTAGGATTGCTGATCTCTGTGTATTTTAACCATTGTCAGTGTCTGCTCTACATTCTGTAGTTCTAAGTTCATTTATATCCTGTGATGTCATTACTTCCCCTCTTTGACCATCAGCTATCTTTTCACTGTACTGTGTCATCTTGTTTCATGTGTCATCTTGTTTCTTATTAAATTTCTTGAAAGCATAAAGCAGTTTCAGTATAAAAATTACTTGTCTCCTATAATCAAAATATCTTTAGATGTCTACTACTATTTATGATTATTTTACAACTTACAATCATTTTCCTTTTTTTGATATATCTTTTCTTATCTGTTTGGATTTTTCTGTCTCATTCATTTTTATATGTAGATAATTTTATCAGGGCCTTCTCACTCTTTAAAAATAATATGGCCACACAGATTCTCCTTGATTTTCCTCCATGGTTGCTTGGGCCCTTCTGATTTGTTCCATCAGCATTTGAGACAGAGGACTGGCTGCTGATCACATATATTCTCTGTACTGCTATTCAGTTCCTTGAGGGAAGACTGAGAGTGAGAAGGTGATGGTTGGCCTCTATCTGGAAGCTTTTTCTCTGAAGTTATAAAGACTTCAGGTTTATAACTTGTGCCTGCAGCTGATTTGGTTAGCAAGGTGGATTAAGCTGGTCCATGGGGGGACGTCTTCACATTGCAGGTCATCCCCCCAATTCTTGCTACTCTGCCAAGAAATGAAGTTAGCATGATACACTTTGTCTCATGGTCTTTTGGTTATGTGGGCCAGCAGTTTCTGGGGATTACATATTCATCTCCAGTCTGCTATTTGCCTGTGGACCTCATGTTTCTGTTAGAAAATCGTCAGTGAAAGGCCCCGTTGGGTGATTTCATAGTGTGGGGGCTCCTTCTTCCAGCCTCTGGTGGGTGACAGAAACTGGCCTCTGTCCCTCCCTCAGGCCCATCATGATTTCAGCTCTGGGATGTAATTTATACCAATGAACTCTTCAGAATTTCTTCCAACTGCAACATTATTCTGTGTCTGGGACTAAAGAGCTTAGGGCTGGTCCAAAGCATGTCACATAGGCTGACACTCTGAATTTTGTACAAAATTAGAGCCTTAGTATCACTGTAGATGATTTTATTTTTAGACTTTTTTTTTTTTTTTACTTTTTATGTATTTTGCCTACCATTTGCTTAAGGAAGGAATAAACTGGAAAACTTAAGGTTTGTTCAGAAACTTCATTAGTGTCAGCTTGAAGGAAGAAATTTCTTGAAAAAAATTATCATTTTTGCCTTCTAACATCTTAAGCTCTGAGAAAATTCAGTACTTGAGCACCTAATCATATCCAAGATACAAGAATATGAAAGTATTACAAACTTGTTTTCTGCCCTGAATAGCAATGGTGGCAAAGCAGACCAATCATCTGGTGATCACAAAAACAAAAACCCTTCAACTTAAAAACTTTCAATTTAAGAAATTCCAGTTATTAGCTAAAAACCAAAATCCTTCAAACTCTGTCCATCAATAACAGTCTCACTTTGGATATGGAAAAAAGGTCACACCTACAACCTTCCTGAAGCCAGAGTGGTGGTGGGGAGAAGACTCTAGAGAATACAGAAGAGAAACATCTCATTCTGGTAAGTTCCTCTCCTACCAGCCAGAAAATTCTGGCAGGTCCATGCAAGTTTAAGAACTACTCAACAAAAAAGTTGGGAAAGAGATTTCTTTCACAGGCTTAAGTAAAGAGTAATGGATACTCTTGGAGATGCTGAATCGATTTCATTAGCTTTTCTGTTCTTTCAGGTTAGAAGAGCATAGAAACTCAGAGGCCACTCAGTATCCACCAACCAACTAAAACTAACTCATAGGACACCAGCATCAAGTTGCGTGAGACACAAAGAGATTCAGCTTTTTAAAGAAAGAGGGTTTCACTCTGATCAGAAGTGTCCCTCTGGTCCGACTTGCTTGGAGGTAGCTGGACTGTGCATACCCTGAAGACCACAGCAGAAAATCATCCACCTCCTTCCCATCTCAGAGCCTTAATAAAGAATACTGGTGGGTAGTGATTACAAAACATCTGCTGTGAGAACTTTTTAAGAGAATGCTGGTCGTTGGCTGTGCTTTTATCAAATAAAACATTTTCAGGGAAAATGACAGTGTGCTGTAACTTGTGGTAGGTGATTCACATACCTGTATTTTGATCACATGCTTTTCTTGATCATGCAAAAATGATTTCCTAGCTTCAAATTCTTGCCAGAGTTGGGGTCCACAGCTTGTGGCTTGAAAGCGAAGAAGCATATCTTCAGAAGCAGACCACATTTTCTGACGAATGTAATCCACTGTTCTTTCCTCAATAATGTCCTGGGGCAAGAGATATTTCTTATGGTTACATTTCACACATCAGGTGAAAGGAGAATATAGAATAGCTTCTGGAAACTTTATCATTTAGGAAATGATGTGATGATAGCTCTTTCTGGCTTGGTTTAAAAAGAGATTTGATCAGAGCTGAAGAATGAACTAGCTTAGCTTCTCTCTAATGATATGGTTCTGGAATCCTTTGAACTTTGTGCTGAGATAGTATAAGAATGTGGTTGAATGATCTCAGTATTCGGAAGCAGAGATGGGCAGAAGAAGCTGGCAAGGACAGGTATGAGGCCTGAAGTATGGAGTATAACAGGGACAAGGATGATTACAGGAAGAATATCACTGCCTTGCCTCTCCCCTGGATTGCTGAGGAAGAGTAAAGCAATACACATGAGATCATTAGGGTTCTTCTCCCAGGAGAGTTGGAAGAGTTGGGAGAAAACTCCCAAAAAACTTAAAGGGAAAGTGAAGTTTTGAGGATAGATGAAAGGGAATGGGAGAAGAAAGGTAAGCCATACCATGGACATTTAGGGAACTCCAACTAGGTAAGAATGAAAGGAAGAAGGGGATTATGAAGTCATTATATGAATTTTGAACTGGGTTTACTTTTGTGTTCTTTGAAAGATGCAAGCAAAGACTGAGCTGACTTCCATGGCTGGTGCCTCTTATCCAGTACAAATGGAATCAATTGTTGGTTGGTGAAACATTTAAAAGTGAAATTATATAAAAGATGCATAAATACCTATAAGAGAAGATGTGTTGGTGTTCACTGCTTGTCTTGAAAAAATTTTATGTATATATAAAAAACACTACAGATCGTCTACTTTTTAATAGCCCTGAAATTGGGCACTCAATGTAAAATACCATCCCTAGGGCATCACTGGATACCACATGAGTAGTTTTGGCTTCGATGCTGCTTCTTCAGATGCTGCTTCTTCACAGTGTCATCCACCTTTCCAATCATAGCAAGTACTTTAAAAAATATTGTCCATAATTTCATATTGCAACCAATTTGCACTAATAATCCATTGCTACAAAGTTGTTTTCCTATAGGTTGTGGGAACTTTGGGCATTTGAAATTAGCTAATTAATTGCTTTCTTCACTCTCTTCTTGCCATTCAGGCTCTGGTGGCATTGCCAGCACCAGGCCACAGACTTTTCTCTGTGTTTCAGTAAATATGGAACTGCTGATTCTGTCCAAACTACTGCCACTCTCGATGTTGTTGACTTTGGACACTTCTGCAAGATCTTTTTATTTTTAATAGAACACAATTATTATTAGTATTTTCTCCTTAAATGCATTGCAATGTCCGGATCAAATTTCAATTTTCATCTTTTTTCACCAACTTTTGGTCTTAAGTCCAAAGCCCTCTTGGTGGACTTTCCGTCATGATGATTTGCCCCTGGAAGCATTGCTCACTTTTGAAAGGACCTATTTTTTCTGTGTTAAATTATGTCATTGTCTGTGTTTACAAAACTAGAGCAATGGGCACGCGATAAAGACCCTCCAAGATACTGGGGTCTGTGCCACAAACAATGCCAACAGTAGAGCAGTGGGAACAATACTAGACTTGAAAGTGGGAGCACTAGACAGAAGTCTGTTCATTGATGAAGTCTGTTAGTACAAGCTGCTTCAAGACTGTGTCTGAGGTTCACCCCCATCTAGAGAAAGGAAGGATAAAAAAGTGCTCTACCTTCATTCAAAGGATTATTTGGGGATCAAAATGATATAACAGTGCTTTGAAAAGTGAAACTCTATGCAAGGGGTTCTTGGCTCTGTTAATAAGTTTCAGGAAGGCTTATTTACCAAGGTTCACATTCTCCAAGTTATGTGTGGACAAACCAGTTCAGAAAAATTACCTTCAGTCACAATTTTCATCAGGCATCTTGTTACAAGGGCTAATTCTAACTTCACATTCCTTTGAGCTAACTCCTTCCTGTTTCTTCATGGCCCCCTGCAACCTCTCATGAAACAAAACCACCTCTTCACTCGTAGGTTCATGAAGAAGGCTATTCTGGCAATATCTGCTTTGCTCTCCTGCTGATAGCTAAGTCCCCATTCATTTTAGAAATCTGTACCAAGCCACTAGTCCTTATTTCCATGTGGCAAGAAAATATTCAGATCTATAAAAGCCAGGCTCACAGAGAGGCTGTTGCATTGAAAAACTTCTCTCTTTCCTTTAACTAGGGAGAGGAGAACTAGAACATGAAATGAAGTAACCCAGAACTGAAATTTAAAAGACTGCTTGGCCAGATTTTTCTTTACTTTTAAGATGCTTTTTATCTTTCTTTGTATACATTCACTCCTGTATGCCTGTGCACATAGAAATTACCCAATTTTGGGGAAGGAATTAGGAACAAAAAAGGACAAGACACTCACAGGGAAATAGCAGGTACTCTGGGAACTTAGACTAGCTTAGTATAAATGAGGGAAAATATTTAAACAAGAGATTCTAAATACGATTGTTCTAAATGAGTTTCTTTCCTCAGAGACCACAATCTGTTAGATATATTAACTAAAGCACCATTCCTAACATTAAGCGCAGATAAGTATGATTAAAATAGATTGTTAAAAAGGGTGGAGAGGGGATCAATAGCTTTTGAGTAGAAAAATCTGGTACAGCAAAGCTTTCACATACAAGTCAAGAATTAATTAAAAGTGGTCTTTAGGAGCTAAGGAAAAGTATTGATTCACTGGATCCTGTGTAAGTCTTGTTAGTGTATTCACAGACACATGGCTTATTTTTAAGATGATGGCTAATCTAAGATTTGCTTCAAGTACACTTAGCTGTGCTGTTTGCACTTGTATTAGAGTAGAAGCATATGCAGAGCTACACAATGAAGGTGTGTTAATTTCTCCCCTTTAGAAGAGGCAAACATTTAAGTTTAATGTCCTAGTTTTTGCCTAACTGTGTCCCTTATGCCCTATACCATCCTGGGGGTGGAAGCCCTGTCCAGGACTTTGTAGAAAAAAATGACACTTGATTTAAAAAGTGTCACATTGTGTTGGGGAGGGAGGAAAGAAATAATACATTTTGAGGCCTTCCCTGGTGGTGCAATGGGTTAAAATGCAGCACTGCAAGCTAGCAGCAGCAGCTTCAGTATGAGTTTGATCCTCGCCCTGGAGGTGACCACATGGCGCGGCAGACCTCTCCTGATTCGCCCGCCCGTTGTTCCTCTCAGCAGTGTACTTGGTGGATCTGCCTGTTCTGCTCCCCACTCTGTTTCTGGTGAATTCTCTCACCCCCTGCACCTCTGGCCTGTACCCCAGTTTGTATGCATAAGTAAATAAATCCTAAAAAAAAATACATTTTGAATAGGGACAACCAAGGAAGTTTCATCAAATGAGTGTTTTGTCAAAGAAAACCTGAAGACTGATGACTTGGGATAGCCTACCATAACAAATAAGATGCAAAAACTTTCTTCTCTCTGCTGTTTTGTGTTATTATGCTACTTTGGAAAAAAAATCTAATAGCAATCACATAGCAATCTAACTACAGTTCATGAAAACTTCACTGTACATTCAGCCTTCAAGTAAGTGTGTTTCTTCCAGCACTTTCATGATTCAAAAATGGAAAAGTGATCACACTTATTTTTACACAACAATGCTTTCCATTAAATGTCAGTGTCCTACCTCAATTTCTTTTGGCATGAGCCATGATTCTTTAGCCAGGTAAGGGTCAGGAGTCACCCAGGAGCTCTCTTTCGAGTTGACATTGTAATAGTATGGATATTTCTCCTGCAGATTGATTTTGAGCCAGGAACCTTCAGAAGTCACTAGAGAAAAAAAAGTTTGTTACACTCTAGAGATGAATACTGAAATTAATTTTTTTCAATATGAAAAATAATCTAATGAATATGTTCAGTGGTAGTTTCCTGCTAATACAAAGGAGAAGGAAAAGAGACAGGTGTCTCTGGATCCCACATTTTTTATGAGGATGACAGTAGTCAAAACTGGCCATTGCAATATCCACATATGAATGAGTGTGGCTGGGTTCCTATAAAATGGGGGTTAGTAAAAAGATGTGACAACCTAAGGAATCCTCTAAAAAACTATTAGAATAAATGAATTCAGCAAGGTTGCAAGATAAAACATCAATGTATAAAGGAAAATGTACACAAGAAAATCTGCATATGCTAATGTTTACAAGAAGCACTGTTCACAAATTAAGAGTGGGGAAAAATCCAAATTCCTTATGTTGATAAATGGCTAAATGAAATGTTTTTGGACACAAAAGGAAATAGTACATGCAACAGGATGGGCAAACTTTGAAAACATTATGCAAAGTAAAAGATATCAGTTCCACACATATATAATGTCCAGAATAGGCAAATACATAGAGACTAAGGTAGATAAGTGTTTTAACTGGTATAGAACTTTATTTTGGTATAGTGAAAATATTTTGGAATTAACTAGTAGCTTTGATTACACAGGTTGTGGATTATATTTCAATAAAAATTTAATTATATTTCTAGGTTCTAGCAACAAACAATCCCAAAATTAAAGTAACAGTTTTAACAGCATCAAAAATGATAAAATATGGAAAAATAGATTTAACAAAATAAATGCAAGCCTTTATAAGCTGCTACAAAATATTGTTGAAAGAATTACAGAAGTATTCATTAAAAGCAGAGACACCCCATATACATGAATTGGAAGACTTAATATTGTTAAGATGTAAAACTCTTCAAATTGATCTGTAGATTCAACACACCACTAATGAAGTTCCAGTGGTCTTGAAATGGCTAGAAAAGTAAATCAAAGGTACCCCCTCTAGGTTTCTGAATTGATACCTGGGGACATCTTGACACCATTCCTTATAACATGGCGCATGGGAAGGGTAGGCAGCAATTTTAGGAGAGAGAAGATTAAGGTTGGCCAGAATGGATTTGTAATTATGATGAATCATCCCTAGGAACTCAATCAATGTGTTAGTATAGCTGTGGGATTCCTTCTCCAGAAAAGATGTACTAGGGTCACTATAGCAACTCCCGAGAAAGAGACAGATGTGAAAGCAACAGAGAAGAGCTCAAGGGTGCCACATAAGAATGGCCAAAAGCCCTTCTCACATTTCACTGACAGGGAGTTTTCTGCTCAAGAGGGTGGAATCTCCAAGTAGGAAATATATCAGCCAAACATAAAAGTAAAGTACATAATTTCAGTAACATTAAAATATTTTTCTGGTCAGTTTCATATCTAAAATTATACAGTTTAGGGCCCTCCCTGGTGGCACAGCGGGTTAAAGCACAGCAATGAGAAGCTAAAACCACTTCTGCATGAGATCGATCCCCGCCTGCCCCAGAGGTGACCCACACACAGCGCGGCAGACCTCTCCTGATCCACCCGCTGCTCCCCTCAGCAGCGTACTTCATTCATCTGCCTGTTCTGCTCCCCACTGTGTCTCTGGTGAAGCCTCTCGCTGCCCCTGAGCCTCTGGCTTATACCCCAGTTCTGTGTGCATAAATAAATAAATCTTAAAAATAAATAAATAAAATTATACAGTTTAGTTTCTTAAACTGTATGATCTATGATGTGGCACAAACACCAGTCTGGAGTGGGGAAACACCTTGATTCTTAAGACTAAAACATAACAAGTGCTCAATAAAAATCTAAAGGAATGATCGATTATACGTGACAAAAATTAATCTCCTTCAGTTTTTCATTTTCTCTCTTTGTCCAAAATCTCATGAATGTGAGTTTCTAAATCTGAAAAATGAGTATTGAACTCCTATCAAAGAAACTTTCCAGAACTAGTATTTTATGATCTGCTGTTAGTGTGAATAGGCATAATAACGATTTGCCAAGGTATAGATCTAATCTTCTGGGGACCAACTCATTGCACACTTTTTCATTTTCAAAATTTCCCTATATTCCTAGTTATATTGTGCAAATATGTAAGTGTCTCAAAAGAAATTGAGAGATGGTTTACTGCTGCTTTATTTACAATTGGAAAGATATGGAATCAACCCAAATGCCCAAAAGTAGATGACTGGATTAAAAACATGTGGTACAAATACACAATAGAATATTACTCAGCGAACAACAACAACAAAAAAACCAAACACATGCAACATGGATGGAGCTGAAAGGGATGGAAGGGATCATGCTTAGTGAAATAAGCCAGAAAGAAAAGGAAGATACCAGATGGTGTCACTCAAAACAGAAGTATGAAGGACCAGGGGAGAAAATATTAATAATAATGAACAACTATATACCAGAGACATTTTATGGGAGTGGAGTGGGGAATGGGATCAAAAACAGTAGGGGGAGGGAAGTGCACTGGACTATGGAGATGGCAAATGGGTGATGTGGTGATGGGAATCCCACGGGGATTACAACTCAGATGGGAAAAGGCACAAAATGATGTAAAAACAAACTAATACATTATTTAAAAAAAAGAAGAAGAAAAAAATTGAGAGATATATTAATGTCAAAATCAGTTTGTATCACTGAAGGAATGAATCAGTTAGACTTATATAAAGCATATCTCCCTAAATATTCCATTTTCTCAATTCCTTGGTGATACCTTTGTTAAATTAATAACAGTTTTCAAATATTAAAAAAGAAAAGAAACATCTACACAATTTCCTTTACTGTAACAGTAACAATATATTTCAGAAATGTTCATTTGAAGTAACATTGTCTTAACATCAACAAATACAATACCAAAGAAATCATCATGCTCAAAATATTTAATTTATACTAAATGATTAAAAAGCTTACCGCTTTCAGATTTGTGTTCTTTTGCCTTCGCAAGAGCATTATAGTACCTATCAGCACATTCAGGGATTATGTTATTTTCATTAAAAGCTGGAGATTTCAAAGCAGACAAAATATCACTTCTTTTTTCATTTTCCAAACACTGATTAACATCAACGACCAGTGTAATCCCTTAGTAATGGAAACAAAAAAAAAAAGTTTCTGTTAGTGGGTATCACCTTCTACTTATTCTAGAAGTATGCACAGTCATAATTCAACCTTTCAGGAATGCTCTGGTATTAACTCTTTTTATGTTTTAATGGGATGTGCCACATATCTCTAAGACAGTAACCGACTCATCTATCAGTTTAGGTTATTAAAAAAGGGAAGATCACACAGCAAGAGAATCATTTATTAACAATCTTAACTTTTCCTAGTTCCTCTTTTGTTATTCTAAGGTACTAGGTTTTGTTCACTGTAGGATAATCTATGAAATGGGAAGAATGCACAACAGAAGACATACAGTCTTTATCAGTACTTGAGAAATAGCTTTATAAGATATTTATTACTAAATAAGCAAAATCCTATTTAAGCATGGAAATCTTGATACTCTCTTGTATAGTGTATTTTATGAGATGGTCATTAGAAACATAAATGTATGTTCTACAAAGGCCGTAGGCACAGATGGTAAATATGTACAATGGAGTCCAGAAACTTCATTCTGGAACCAATTAAGACTTAGAAAGCATTTTACATTACAAATTTCTGCTTCTCCTCATAAATAAAGCCACAGTGCATTTCTTGGTTGCCTAATGAGAGTTAACAGGATGAATTCTTTATTACCCACTTTAGTTTCAGGTAAAAATTTCTGAAACAAACCACAAACTACTATTTTTATAACCTATAAATGAACTAATTTAGAAATGCAGAACAAAAATCGTGGGAAGCATTAAAGATTAAAATACTTATTAGCAGAAAAAAATGATCTTAATAAAAAGAGAGAGAAAAGATGGGATTTCTCCTTTTGGTTGTTTTTAACCATACAAACAGTAAATGGTATATTGTTATCAACAAATTATGTTAATAGCTGCATACCACTATGAAGGCTGATAGGCAAGAAAAACAGTTGGGTTTTCAATAGCTTGGAGTCCTGCAAATCTGAAAAAGCATATGAATAAAGGAGAACTTTATAGCAAACTCCAAACTGTTATTGAACAAAAGGTATGTTCTTGTGCTTATGGAAGTAATGGGAACAGGTGAACTGTACCCTTTTTCCCAGTAATGAGATGAGGGTGTAGGATGAGAAAAAAGTGGCACTGATATTTGATGTTTGTGGTCTGAGACAAATGGAATGAACAAGTAAATAAAAAAAATTCTAGAGTGAATGACATGAGACAGTCAAGCCCAGTTAGATGCCTTTCCTTTAAAGGCAGGTATTAGAAAGCTCTATGTGTCTTGCATGTAGTAACATACTCTATCATGGAGTTTTCATGTGCAAGGACCGGGTACACAGGCTCACTTCCCAGTCAATGGAATCACTCCCTTATGTACCAGCCCTCACCTTAACAATACTTCCCATGAAAAGAAAAATGAAACAAATCTTGAAGAAAATGCTAACAGAATAGTCTCTATCCTGCTCATCATCATCCTGAGTTACCACAGTGTTTGGAAGCACTGCCAGAAGAGCCCTTCAAGTGATTAAGATTAGACTGTGCTGGGCCCTGCCTGGTGGCGCTACTGGTTAAAGTACAACACTGCAAGGCTAGCCGCTTCAGGGAGAGCTCGATCCCCAGCCAGGGAGCTGACCCACATGGTGCCACAGACCTCTCCTGTCTAACCCTGTGCTCCCCTCAGCAGTGCAGCCAGTCTGCCTTTTCTGCTCCCCTCAGCAGTGCAGCCAGTCTGCCTTTTCTGCTCTCCCCTCTGTCTCTGTCTCTGGTGAATTCTCTCTCCACCGCTGGCCTGTATCCCAGTCCTGCATGCATAAATAAATAAAGTCTTTAAAAACAAAGATTTGACTGTGCTATTAGACAGTGAGTGATCTTTCCAAAGTCTCTGAGATTCTCTGCTCCTCAACTACATTAAGTGCCTCAAACTCCTATGGTTTTTAGTTCTTTCTTCCTTCATCAAGTATTGCTTATTGCCCTCTGTTTCTGTGACAGGACAGGGCAGCCTAAGCACATAACCACCCTACAATGCGTAGTTTCTAATATGCTCTGAGCTAGGAAGAAAACTCAACATATTATCACTATGTCTAAGATTAAGGAAGTTCAAAGTGTCTGCCCAAGAAATCAGGTTTTGAGACATCTTGATCAACTGTAGGTGGTGGCTGATTTCCAGACGGTTGAAGAATACAGATAAATGACTTCCTGAAAGTTTCTGTAAGGAACAAATTAAGCAACCTCCTATAAATCTCCTAAGAGATTAACCCCCCCCCAAAAAAAAAACAACAAAGAGGTTTGTCTCACATTTTAAGCCATATACTAGCTAACTTTCTCTAGGCAAGCATTTGCAAAAGTGGTGAAATAACCCTTGGTGGTGGTGGGGGGGGGTGGCAAAAAATCTTTTATGCATATTGAGCACAGATCTACAGATCTATAAAATATATCTGTGGTATTAAAACTTCATGGTGAGGAGTGGGAGGAAAATGTCTACAAAGAGTCCTTCACAGGGAAATGCTGAAAGGTGTTCTAAGGAATCAGAGGCAGAGAAAAACTTGCTTTAAGCAAGATGCAGGCCCTTCCTGGTGGCACAACAGTTTAGGACGCAGCACCGCAAGCCAGCCGTAGCTGCTTTAGTGAGAGTTCGATACCCAGCCCCGGAGGTGATCCACATGCTGCTATACTTTGTGGATCTGCCTGTTTTGCTCCCCCCTCTGTCTCTGGTGAATCCTCTCACCACCCCTGCACTTCTGGCCTTTACCCCAGTTCTGTATGCATAAATAAATAAATCATAAAAAAAAAAAGCAAGATGCTCCAATGAAAATGAGCACTTTGCCAAGATGAAGGAGACCTGAGTTATTCTGCCCTTTCAAACCTTGCCTGTGGTGAAACATATGGGTTGATGCATTCTCTTTTATTGAATCACCTGGGAGTAGTTTTGGTGCTTATGATATGTGACCAGAATGTCTGTTTCAAGGATGTGAATGTTTTTAAAAGGTTAAATGCTGTGTTGATAAACTGGAAGATTCTCATGTCAATGTCACAATATAGATGAACTTATCCTCAGAACATCTTTTTGTTGTTACCCATCATGGAAGAAAGTATATGAATGCTTCTGAGGGAATGACAGAGGTAGAGACAGGATTTTAAATAGGCAAGTGTGAGACACAAAATCACACACACTGAGGAAACCTCTTACTTTCAGTCAAAGGAACTAGGAGTCTTGATATAAGAAACATAACCAACACAGTATTTGTGTCCAAATATAAAAAAAAAAGTGGAGTAAAAAGGTTTGTTCTCTAAGACTATAACCCTTTTAGGGGACTTCAATGCCTGTATTAGAATCTAATTTTAAAACAGTATTTCTTCAAGTAAGGCTAGCAGAGCAGGAGAAGGACAGCAAAGTATGCATAAATAGATAAATCTTAAATAAAGATTAGACTGTGCTGTTCGACAGTGAGTGATCGCTGGAGGGAGAACAATGGAGGAGGGTGGGACTCTTGGGGGCTGCCTGGTGGTGGGTGTGGTGTGGACACCTATGTCTGAAGAGGTATGAGCCTCTATCAATCACACACAGTTGTAAATCAATACTACCTCGTTATGATTTTAAAAATTCCTCCTATTAGGTATGAAATAAAACTTGTTAAAATTTAAAAAAAAAGTGTTTCTTCAAACTACAGCTGCCTTTAGTTCTGTATTTAAATTTAAAGCTCCTATCTACCCATCTCAATTTACTTTTTCTTCTTAAGGATTAGCGAGCTAGAATGGAAAGACTTTAAAGATCCTGAGGGTAGAAAAGTTCAGATTGGAGAGAGACGCATTTTTCCACTGTAAGGAAATAAAAAGCAGATGTTCATCACTTTGCCTCCAAAGTTTAAAAGTAGATCATGGGAGCAAGGCAAGGCCTCCCAATAGCACTCTATGACCTAATACAGGAGGGACTGTAACCAGACCCGAGTGATGGGCTAAAGGAAGACACTTGCAGGACCCTGTTTTAGTTTATGGAGGTTATTTTTATAGTATTACTGTATCAAATTTGAAGTTTTTCTAGACTGACGTACATTTTTGAACAATTCTATGAAAACACAGGCTAACGTACTTCTATCATTCGAGTCCATGTAGAGATGCTGCCAGTTTGCTGAGTTTCCTCTATTCCAATTACACATTCTGTACCTGGGCATAATCCCAGGGTGGATTTGGACCCACTAGATCCTATGAGAGTGAATTTGAGCTGAAACTTCATTGACCATCTGCCATCTATAACCCTCTACTCTGGCCACAGTGAGATTTGGGGTCCGCTCAGGGCCAATGTCTAGTAAGCCCCGTCAACTCTGATTATGTCTCTCCCCCCAGCACAGTCACCAGGGTTGAGACAGTTGGTCTCTTTGGGAAAAACCTGGAGAAAGATGCACACATTTTGGCATTACATTTGGTAGCATAGCAAAGCTCTTCCTCACAGGGACCTGGGCGTCTTTCAATTCAGTGGGCTCGGCTTCATAAAACTGGTCCAAGTCTGGAATTGAGAGGCCATGACTTTCTGCTTGCATGATTCAAGTTGCATTTCTGTTCACTTGACATCCAACTTTTCCAGTTGTACAAATCAAGTAAGAATTTAGTGGACTGTTTCGTGTCTAGACCAACTCCATGGGTCTCTGAGTCATTATTCTGAGTGTGGCTTTGATGTTGCTGTCCCTTACAGCAGTCACGCCCACTTGTTTTGTGGGGTTAAGTGCTTTCACCTGGCCTCTGCTGGGATGCCCTAAAGAGTCTGAACTTGCTGGCTTCTCCACAATTATAAGAGTCAGCTCCCTAAAATAAAAGTCTTTTTTTTCTCTCTCCATATACATGTATATGTAGACAGTGCGTATATCAATCACATATTTCTTAGAGAAACAGAATGACGTCTATAGTGCTATGCAGCACATACATGGAGAATCAAAATAGATTTTATATGAAGATGTTAATTATATTTATAAATTTTTATGTAAAATGATTTATTTTATATTAACATACAAATCATATACACAGTAAATTATATAGATTCTCTGGAAAACTGTAAAATGATGGCTAGCAGTGAGAAATGGTGTAGTTTTCTAAGAATCAGGATAAACTACAGAGAGCTTAGACACCCATTTTCTGCTTTCTGGATTTTGTTCCACAACATTCACAGATTTTGCTGGAGAAGAGTATCTGATCATTGACCACAGTAGAACCAATGCACTTATTTTTATAAATATGCATTTGTGAAATTGATAGGTTCAAATCCCAGAAATGAAAAACCAAATGATTTCCAAAATTATGTGAGTTAAAAATTCAGGCATATAACCAAATAAAGGCAAGACAAGCTGAGTCAGCAAAGGAGGTGAAAGCTTACATTCTTTTGCGTTGTTTCTGTTCATGTTGGCCTCATCGATTGCATGCTGAATCTCTTCCAGCCAAAGAACTTTAGAAGCATTCTCACTCTCCTAGGAATGTTAGAACAGAATAACAGAAAAAAAAAAAAAAAACAGTGAATAATGTATGGTATAAAAAGAACCGCTTTTCAGGGACCCTTTCATAACTTCCTCCAGCTCTTATGTAGCATTTCTCAAGCTACAGTATTTGTTACAAGCTGTCCCAGCTACAAATGAAATATTCCCAGATCCAACTAATCTTGCTTCTGCACAGTCACTCTGTTAGTCAGTTCCACCACCATCTCTCAACGGGACTGCAACACTGGTCTATAAGCTTCCACAGTTGCGGACTCTGCCCAGAACCACTACAAGTGGTCCTCTCCAGAGAACCAGACATCTAAAAGGGGTGTCTCATTACACTACTCTTCTTACCTCCCCACTATGGGATCTAGTGTAGGAACTTAGAACTCCCTTTCCAGGACTCTGGCTATCCAGTGACCCAGACCTGCTGGCCTCTCTGGCTTTCCCACCCATTTCTCTAACTCCCTCTCCAGACCTTCAGACCAGCCTCCTGACCGCCACACTCCACCGCTGCATAGCTCAGTTCTTTCAGTTCATTCAGTACTAAATTCAAATGCCACTATTCCCAAATACTTCTCTGGCTACTCTAGTCCAACACCTTCCCCCAATCTCTCAGTAACTGTGGTTCCCAAGGTACTCGAGAGCCATGGGGTATTTTAAATTTGGGGGAATCAAAATGATACTCGAATTTATTATCTACAGAGTCAGAAAGCAAACAAGACAAACAGCAGCATGGTGATTGCCTCCATGGAATAAACACTTTAGTAGGAGACACAGATTAACAAAAGATAATACAATGTGATCAGTGTGCTTAGGCACTATTAGCTGAAGACACATGACTAACCAAGAAGGGGTTAACTTTTGGTGGGAGGGTTGAGAGTTGCAGGAGCAGAAAAGACTAAGTAGCTAAAGATAGCTTAAGAAAGTAGTAGTAATGAAAAGATAATTCTTTTTACTACCTTTTATTTTTCATTACAATCTTGCTATAAATGGAGCTGGCAGATAATGTAAATAAATGGGACTTTCAGGGAGTCAATTTAATTTATAAAAAGCTGTCCAACATAATAAATAAATTCTGTTATCAGAAATCGAATATTTTCAAGGTCGATGACTGTATTCTATTGTAAAAAAATGAGAACATTTACCTATATGTGGGGTCATGTGTCATGTACTAAGTTTTAATTTAAAACTGTGATGAGCAAGAAGTAGTTGACTGCAGCCAAGGAGAACCAGCAACATCACTGAGGACTCATTTAGGTGGGGCCCAGAAAGAGAAATAACATTACCACTGTCTCTGGCAAGTTTCAACCCTATTTCCCTCAGAGGCTAATGCGAGATAATTTAAGGGGAAGGATTCTGAAAATGAGACACACTATGTCACTTTACCCTCATGTTCTGGCTAGCAGAGACAACTGCAGAAGGTTTTGTACGTGTGTCCGCTGTTATCTTTAGACCTTGCCACATGAGAACTGTTAGTAAGATTTTCATATGCTACTAAGGTTTTCTTGGGAGAATGAATGGGGAAGATTCAAAGAGGGAGCAAGATGGGAAGCTGAAGATTAAAAGGATGAAGAAACAGGAAAGAAGGTACTATTTTCTTTCTGTTTCCAAAACCAAAGAGAATCCAAATACCTGCCACATCACAGCTAAACATTAAGCTCCATATAAGTTCATTGATAACATGTCTTAATTTATTGAAGGGTATTTGGCTTCTTTCCTTATAACTTATCATTGTAGAAAATGACCCATACAAACTCTCATCCAGATGAAAAGTCACACCACTTCAATGCTAAAAGAATAGACTTATATACTAACCTAAGCAGTGATATTGCAAATCAGATCAATCTAAGTCAACAGTTCACATCACACATTGAACTAAAGGTGGCTAGGGTTAAACACAAAGCCAAGAGTTATATCAAATCCTATCATTGTAAGGTCCACGTTTCAATTGCAGTATATTTATAGGATGGCCATACTAACTTCCAGCTACACAATCAGGTTTCAACAAATGGGTTACAAATGATTACATGAATGAACAGAAAATAGACCACCTGCAAATCAAGTAATAAATTCCTCAATTTAATGACTCCTAGAATATTTTACTCAAAAAAATTCTCTTCAATATTTTGTGGGGTTTAGGTTATTATTGCTGCCATCTATAAGAGTATCCGATTACCATTTGTGCCATCATATCTTATGGCACTGAGGTATTAAACAAGGCTTTTGATTGTAAAACCCTTAGATTTATTTATCTATTCATACAGAACTGGAGTACAGGCCAGAGATGCGTAGGGTGAGAGGATTCACCAGAGACAGAGCCGGGAGCAGAACAGGCAGATCCACGAAGTACACTGCTGAGGGGAGCAGCGGGCGGGTCAGGAGAGGTCTGCCACGCCATGTGGTCACCTGCGGGGCAGGCGGGGATCGAACTCATGTGGAAGTGGCCTTAGCTTCTCAGTGCTGTGCTTTAACCCGCTGCGCCACCAGGGAGGGCCAGCTTTTGAAGTTTTACGTGAGATTTTTATTTTTGATTTTGGCCACAAGTTATAGGCAACAGGCTTGCTTGTCGGATTGTCTGGCTTAGTGTTTAACCTGTCATTTTATTAATCACAGGAAAATCTGCTGTAATGCAGGTTATTTTTACTAAATATTAAATCACATCCTCCATAATGTAACTACATAAAAGCTTACATGTTGTGAATGTATTTAACACCACTGCGTTGGAATAATAGGAGTCTTCCCTGCATTTCAATGTTGTATTATTATTTCAATTTAACCAGAGTTATTTGGAGATCTTCCCCACTAGCTATCTGACTCTGACACAAGCTATGCAATCTCTATCAACTGATATATTCCGGATAGAGATGGAAGTGCTCTGAAAAATCAGAATTTCCACGCTAACTTATGTTATGACCTCCCTTTTTTGTAATATCAAAATATTCTAAGCAACCATCAGCTTACAACAAGATTGCCTCAGCCTCATAAGGCGCTGCCTGGCTCAGGTGAGCAAGCACTGCCCAAGATAGGAAATTCCTCTAGAAAGCAAAAAATAATATTACAACTGGCTGATTAATAAAAACAATTATAACACAATCAATATTGTAAGACAAGGAAGTACTAGAACATGCTAAAAAATAAAGTTCTTTTACTGCCTGGACCAGAACCCAAATCTCTACTCTCTTAAGCTTTTACTGCTCAGTCTTTAAATGAGGAACCTTATTATCTCCCTTAGTGATTTATCTACCAGAAAACTCCTCCAGCCTAGTCTTGGACCTTACTTTACCTTCTTTCACACCTTCTCCTTGGCCCGCGACCTCACCTTACCCCCCTTCACATCTCCGGCCCAGTCTCCACCCTAGTCCTCAACTTTACTTTACCCTCTAAGATATCTCAATGAGAATGAAGATCATTAAATAGCATTTAAGGTTTAAAGGGACTTTATTTTAGCAAATCAACACTGTAGTAAATATAACAATGTTAGCCTTAAATTTTTTGAATTTATGTACCTATCTTTTTTTTTTTTAAAGATTTATATAATTTATTCATATAGAACTGGGGTACAGGCCAGAGATGCAGAGGGTGAGAGGATTCACCAGTGACAGAGTGGGGAGCAGAACAGGCAGATCAACAAAGTACACTGCTGAGGGGAGCAGCGGGTGGGTCGGGAGAGGTCTGCCACGCCATGTGGTCTCCATGCGGAAGTGACTTTAGCTTCTTGGTGCTGTGCTTTAACCTGCTGCGCCACCCGGGAGGGCCTATGTACCTATCTTAACTTTAATAGATTGATTTTAAGAATAATGAATGTTATATCTCAGCTAAAGGGCAATACGACCCTAAACTGTTCATAGAAAAAAAGATGATTGTAATCTCTCAGCCCAGTTCATGTGCTGATGTCATCCCACTGCTTGCTCCTAATGTGTAAAATAAACTTCTGCTAAAGGCAGAGCAGGAAGACTTGCACCCAACTCCAATTCCCGTGTCTTCCTCATTCCCCTTTCCCCTTTTTCTCCTTTCCCCTTTTTCTCCTTCCCCCCCCCTTTTTTAGGAATCTCTGCTTGCCGATGGCGCTCCCACCTTGAGACCCTGCCTGTTCTGCCCCCCCCCCCCCGATAATCTGTGATTGGGAACAAAGGGTCTCTACAGTAACTCTACAGAGTTACTGCATGCTTTTGAATATGTTCAGCTGTGGCAAAACAAAATGTTACACCAAGTTCTGGCTAACAATGATGACAAATTCAAATCAAAGTCACATTGATAGGGAGTTTTCAAAGGAATTAAGTGTTAAACACTTAAATAACGGTTACACCTCTTAAGCAACAACTTCTGAAATAATGTTGTCTTCCATGATAACTTATAATCATGTAACCAGTTTAAGAAGCTTTGAAATAGCTGAGAGGATAAAGAATAGTTTAACAACTCAATTATTCAATAGAAATTATACACTGAAACTTCATTTTTAAAATGGCTAAACATGGGATATAGGACAGATTCAAAACTAAACTCAGCATCTCATTTCAGCCATGTTCTGTAAAAGATGGCATGTTATCTACATTCTTTTCAATGCACATGATCACACTGGGTAGGAATTCGAGCATCTACTCAGAGCTACTACTCTGAGCTACTACTCTTCTCAGACCACTGAGGATCTGGAAGAGTTAAATGACTTTCTCTGGGGAAACAGAACATACTCAGAGGCTCTGGCTGAGTCATGCGGTCTAAGTGGAACATGAGTGCTGTCACACCCTTCCCATGAAGAGATCCTCAGCGAGCTTCCTGCCTGCACAGCACGGCAGAGCACGGGACAGCACACTTCTACAGAAAGCAGGCTGCCTTCGCGACTAACCTATGGAACTGAGGTGAACGTGTGATCCTTCTCATACACCTGAGAACGACTGAGAAACTGAACACAAGTCAGCAGGATGAAAACCCTCGTCTTTGCAGCTGTAGGAGCGATGCTTCTGTCCCTCACTTTGTGTCAAAGCGGTAAGCTCTTTTCTTGCCAGGGTAGATGAGGGTGCCTGGTTTGTGCTACTAAAGTCAACTGATTCTACTATTATTATGCTTACACACAAACTCCATCAAAATGGCAGAAACTGTTATTAATTATTACAAGGTGGAATCAAGGGAGTGAATACTTAGTTTGTTTACTCTAACCAAATCTTGTCAACAAACAAGTGGTCTCCTGATTCATACTTAAATTTGTGTCATAGTCAGATTTTAGTTCTCTATGTTTAGTCAAAGATCACTTTCCTCTGTGAGAAGTTTTGGGAGAAATCTGAATATTCCAGGAAGAGTGTGTGACCAATCTGTTTTTGATAAACAGCTAAGAAGTGAGTGTTTCTCAAATGAAATACCTTTTCTGATTTTCAAACTGATTCCCCCCCACCGTTATATAAGATTTTTTTCATTTTAGAAATGAGAGCTTCCAAATATTATTCAAGTCTAATGTATTTCCTGCTTCCCTCAACATAATGCTGGCCTGAAATCTTTGTCTTGTTCCAAAATTAACTAGTTTGGGATAAACTGTTAAACCCACAACTCTTACACTGCTAGGTCACACTCCAGTCAACAATGTTAGACGTTGGAGAACTTGGGGGGAGGGACAACAAGGGGAAAACAAACAAAAAACTGATGTCTGTAAGGAAATGTTGCTGGAAATTAATAGCTGGAACAGAGCTGCGGGTCGCAGCGGTATACTTTGGGATTTGTGAACAGGTAAGTGCGGGCTCTTCCTGGGACTGAATGAACCAAAATGCAACAGAGAGACTAGAGGTTTGTGGAGGCGGTTCCTTCAAGATGCTGGTAGAGTTTGATGGAAGTGAAAACGGAGAAAGTTTGAGGAACTAAAACAAACATTAGTTAATATGATGTCTTTGATAGGAGTTGGGGAGAAATGTGCAGGAAGAACCCATGATCTCACGGCTGAAGTCCTTTTGGATCAGTTTCTGTCTAAGATCCCTTCTGAGATTGAAAAACATTTCAGAAATATGCAAGTGGAAATCTGTATAAGGATTTCAAATAAACATTTAAAAAATGCAAATTTTTTCATCACTAATGCTGTTCTTCAGGAAACCAGGATCTAGGCATGGAAAACTTACTTATGCTGAACCAGAGCCAGAATTCTCATGGTAAACAGGAGCAAGACTTTTTCAGTCACTGCTGAGCATGTTCTCAGGAATGATGTCTTGCTTAATCACAGGAAATTTTCTCAAAACAGACACACTGTTTCAAGGGCTCTTTTTAAAAAATCAGATCCTAAAGGAAAAGAACATGTATTGTGCATCTTGAACTGCCACTTTTCCAGCTTTGTGCTTATCTTTAAAAGTTCTTCTCTTTAGTGATGTCAGCACTATCAGAACTTCCTCCAAATACAAAGGCGAGAAGGATTCCTGTAGCTGCACCCAAATGTCATACAATAGTACCTGCAAAGTTCTCATCCAAACAGAGACAGAAGAATGCTGCTTTGGATTTTGCTCTCCTGTCTTTCATCTGCCTTTCCTTGAGTGACACATGGGCACCTCCCTGTCCCTACCTGTCCAGGCAACACTCTCTCTCTGCATTACATGCTGAATTCTGTTCATGTAATACTTAGGGTTTAGGAAGGAGGCTTCAATTTCATCCACAGGTAAGCTGCTAGAGATTAAAGCCGGAAGAGAAACTGGCTTTGACTGAGAACCTGTTACTAAACACTACTCTCAAGTATTCAACAGGTAAGAATTCAGAGGTCATGTGCATTGATGTAACTGGAACAACAAAAACATTTAATAAGTATGAGGTTTATATTTGGCATTAAAGCCCAATTTAGGTAACATTCGACGTTTTGAGAGCCTACTCTCTACTTATGTCTAAGACTAATTTATAGAACAATTATATAGTGAGATACAGATTTGAGTATTAAGGTTAATTTTTTTGAAGTTATTCTTTCAAGAATTGGCATGCCCAGGAAATGCCCACTATTCATAGTATATAGTTGCTGGATCTAATTTTTCATTCCTAACTTCTTAGATCATCTTGTTGAGGTCATGTTCTGATTTTCTCCTCCTCTTCCTTAAAGTCAGGCATTTCTCCTAAAGTCTTCCTTTGGATTCTTTTTTCTGACATTCTCCCTTTGCATTTAGCCACTCCTATTAAATTTATACAGACTGAAAAATTCATGCCTCACATTTAGGCTTCTGGAATTTTAAACTCAGCACTTAAATCTTCCAACTTGCCATGGACCTTTTAATACAAACATCCTGCTGATAAGTCATTTCACAAAACCAAAAGCTGAGATTTAAGCTTCTCCCCATGCCAATTCCCTCGTTCCAATCTCCTCCTCCAAGTCATTTAGAATAGAAACCTCAAAGTCCTCATTGCCTTTCCCTAACTGCTGCCATAGCCAATCTGATGCCAAGTCCCTGTGAGTCTCCAGCATGAGTTTTGTGTTCTCATCTTCAACTTCCCTGTGCTAGTGCTGTGGCTCTGTAACTTGCCATTTAAGTCTGAGTGATTACAGTCACCTCCAAATCAGATCCCTTAACTGTTTAATCTATTCTCTACACTGTCGCCAAGGTCATCTTAAATAAAGTCAAATCATGGCTTTGTTTCCTATTGTTGCTTTAATAAATTACCCAAATTCCATTTTTGAAGGTCACAAGTGTAAAATTCAGCATTCTGGAAGTTCTGAGGGAATCTAACAGCTCTCTCTGACTTTGGCCCCCTCCCCTTTTTTTGTAAGGCCTTATGAGTATGTCTCCTACCTGCCAATCTAGGATACTCTCTCCATCTCAAGATCTTTATTCACAAATGCAAAGTCTTTCTTTCCCAGGCATTAGCTTGTGGAATCTTTGGAGGGGAGAAATTATTCTACCACAATGGTATTCTTCTATTCACAAATCTGTGTAAGTGTCAGCTGCACATCTAGAAGCAGGCCCATGAGTTCTTAGTTTAGATGTACTTTAGGGATTTGGCTGTAACATACTCTTCTGATTCTATTTCTAGGATATAGCTTATTAGTATGACATAATACATTTTTATAAATCTTCAAATCGAAGAAGAGACAACCGAGATGGAGTTTAAAATTTTCTACCACTGGCATGTAAATACACAATAAACATTTGCTGACTTAACTTATCTGACATTCCCAGAGCCTGTGTCAGTCACACTATGCTTTTGCCCGTTCATCATCTACTGGAATCTTGTTCCTCTATCGAGTTCCATGTCTTTTTGAACCTGGCTCATCTTTGATCACTTTCAACTTTTCCTTGGTATTGAGCGCGAACATCTAAATCTGCTATTACTTGAATGCCTGTATAGTCTGTCATGAGTGACACTGCCCTACAATGACCTGTGGCCTATTATTTTTGTTTCCTACAAAAGTATTATAAACTCAGGCCCTCTCTGGTGGCACAGCGGGTTAAAGCACAGCACTAAGAAGCTTAACCCACTTCCGCATGAGTTCGATCCTCTCCTGCCCCGGAGGAGATCCATATGGCGAGGCAGACCTCTCCTGACCCGCTCGCTGCTCCCCTCAGCAGTGTACTTCGTCGATCTGTCTGTTCTGCTCTCTGCTCTGTCTCTGGTGAATCCTCTCACCCTCCGCATCTCTGGCCTGTACCCCAGTTCTGTACGAATAAATAAATCTTTAAAAAAAAAGTATTATAAACTCTATAAGCATGTAACTGTCATCTAGTTTTTAGTCTTGTATGGGCTAGTATGGTGCTGGGGCAAATAATATATACTAAATATAGACCTGTTGATTACCAGATCTATAACCTTCTTTTAATATAAAAATGACTCTAAATTCCACAACTAACAGGAATTATGTAGAATAAGACATTTCATTTTACTATCTACTGGACCACAGATACGGTTAAGCAACAAATCATATATCAGTACATTTTTCAATTACAGGTATGGAAAATGATGGAGACAACCTGGTAAGGCCAACCATAACGATTAAAAACTACCGAGGAGTCCCCCAAAGTGACTTGGAAGAGATTCCTCCTTCTGCTATAGAAGGCTGGACAGAAATCACAACAGTAAAATTTAAGTGCCCTGAAGAAAGTGTTTCAAATATCCACGTGAATAATGATACCACAGAGTACCTGAGTAGCTCCTTAAGCACCAAGCTGATACCTGCCATCTACACCCTGGTATTTGTAGTAGGTGTGCCAGCCAACGTGGTGACCCTGTGGATGCTCTTCTTTCGGACCAGAGCCATCCGTATGACCATTTTCTATACCAACCTGGCCGTTGCAGATTTTCTATTTTGCATCACGCTGCCCTTCAAGGTTGTATACCATCTCAATGGAAACAACTGGTTATTTGGAGAAGTCATGTGCCGGATCACCACTGTCATCTTTTATGGCAACATGTACTGCTCCATTCTGCTCCTCGCCTGCATCAGCATCAACCGCTACCTAGCCATTGTGCATCCTTTCACGTACAGGGTGCTGCCCAAGCGCACCTATGCCACCCTCGCCTGTGGACTTGTGTGGACGACAGTTTTCTTATATATGTTGCCATTTTTCATGCTGAAGCAGGAATATTATCTTGTCCAGCAGGGCATCACAACCTGCCATGATGTCCACAACATATGCGAGTCTTCATCTTCCTTCCAACTCTACTACTTCATCTCCTTGGCATTCTTTGGATTCTTAGTTCCATTTGTGGTCATTATCTACTGCTACACAGCCATCATTCGGACACTTAACTCATATGACCATAGATGGTTACGGTATATTAAGGCGAGTCTCCTTGTTCTTGTGATTTTTACCATTTGCTTTGCACCAAGCAACATTATACTTATTATTCACCACGCTAACTACTATTATACCACCACTGATGGCTTGTACTTTATCTATCTCATAGCTTTGTGTCTCAGTAGCCTGAATAGTTGCCTAGATCCATTCTTTTATTTTCTCATGTCAAAAATCACAGATCACCCTACTTCTTACCTTACAATAGTGAAGTCATCATAGAGAATAAGGAAAGCTATTTGTGAAAACACACACATGTGCAGTCACACAATGTGGGGAACTGTAGTCTCTAGCTCCACTTTGGAGCTCCTGAGAAATAGTGCTTTCCAAAAGAAAGCATTACAGAACCAAATTAAAAAGTATGCTAGCAGTATTTTAAGAATATAAATGCAAGAGAAAAGCTATTACCATTATTTTTATAGTTAACTGACACTTCCATTTGCCTTACTGGTATTCAGTATTTCAAGCTTCTGTATCTCTCCATTTCCCCTTATTTATCTGGCTTCTAGATGATAAATGACTTCGAAGGAGACTAATGAGACAAAGACAAGGAGTCTGAATGGCAATAAATATTAAGATGTCAGTTTTTAATATTTAGCATCATTTCGAATGTTCTGCCTTTTTCAGCACTCATTCTGAGGGCTGCCATCTTCATGATGCCTGTCATCAGTGCACATCAACCCAGCCCCATGTTTGTCTCTTAACTACTTCCTCACAGCCAGCTTAGCCTCCATTTTCATGGACAAATTAATCTTCCTAAAGTGTCAGTTTGAATATATCACTCAAACCCCCCCAACTCAAAAACTCTCTTGGCTCCTCACTGCTTCTGGAATAAACTACACATCTGTAAGCTGGTATTCAGCATTATTTTTCTACTTTTACTTCCCAATAATCTTTCCTATAGTACAATACTAGCCAAGCCTCTGGCTTTGCTGTGATCTCAACTTCTCTTCTCTTTCTCCCTGCCACTAACTGGAAAGCTATTTCTAATATGTTTGCCTTAATTCTTTCCATCTCTTGAGGTTCTCCAAGGACCAGTTCTCCCTGATTCCAATCTAGATGTTTATTTTTTTCTCATTTGAACCTTCAAAGCTCTTCTTTTACTTTTATTATGGCACTTAAATACACTTCATTTATATACAGTTATTAATTTCATAAACATATGCTAAGGACCATGTAGAGAAAGGATGACTCCTTCTCCTTCTTTAGCTCCTTGTACTAACCCCATATACCAATTTTTCTCAGGGTCTGTAGGGTCCCGTTCAAATTCTGTATATCATGTGTCTGAATGCATGAATCCCCAAATAACTAAACAGCATGAAAGTCCATTACATTCACACTGAGAAGGCAGGGTTCTCTGTACATCATGGGATTTTATTTTTTGGTTGGGCATGTGAAAAAGAAACTAGAAATATAACTCAAGGTCATTTTGAAGTTTAAAATAAACTCCATTTTTATTCCTTAAACATAGCTTTCAATGGGGAAAAAGATTTTGTTAAATATCCAGACTATTCCTGTAGATAAATGACTTATTTTCCTTTCATTTAGGGGTTAGTTAAGAGGGGGAATACTAGCGCTTAAGAGCATGACGGACACAGGATCTAAATTTTCAAGTCTGTAGGAATTGGCATTGACCATAGGCTTTGTATTGAACATCAAAACAAACCACTTCAGATGTGTATTTTTGAGTGTGCAAGGCTTTCTGTTTTCAATGGACATGGGTTTTTTAAAAACATGCTTGGAAGAATCTGGAGAACAGACTGAAGATGAAAGAAGCCAGATGGAGAGCCAGAAGACCTGAGGGAGCCTCATGGAGCAGAGGAACATGTGAGGAAGCTGCACTTGTTTCTTGTTGGTCCTGGACTGGGTGAATCAGATGTGGGTGAGAGACCTGTGGGGAGGTTGACCATGGCAAATTTACCTTGATTTTGCTCTTTTCTCCCCAGATTGTCTGGCCATCTCAGACCCTTTTCTATGGGTCCCCTCTAAAAGGTGCTTTAGACTTGTGGCAGGCTTTCAGGCCTTGCTTTGGGCCCATCCCTTTTGATGGACTTTTACCCACGAGGGGATGGGTAACTTTGGATGTTTGATTTAGAAACTACATTATTTATCTTTCTGTATTGCACACTTAATTGTATTGAAGTTCCTTTCCATTAAAAAAATGCATATGGATACCCTTTCAAGTATGTGGCTTACATAATAAAAACAGGTTTGACACCAATAGCAAGAAAAAAATCTAAAATAAATTTCAAGATGACAAAAATATCAATGGAAGGAATTACAGTTTGGAAATGAAGTCATCATCTGCCACTTACACAAGGGCACATTTGAAATACTAGTAACAAAGACCAAGAGTCTTACCAACTTGCATCACTGTCCTGTCTTTGATAAAACTGAGTATCTCTCCATGAAGTTGTTATCCATTGTGACTTAAACAGAGTAAGTTACACTGAAAACCAGGAATGTAATTTTTTTTTCCTATTACTTTCCAAGGGTAGACCCCAGGAAGGCAAGGCACAGAAATGCTACCATTAAAACATGACTGGATATTTCAATGATCAAAACTGTGGAAGCTAAAAAATAAATACAGAGACTAACAAATAAAACAATCAGCCTGCTTTCAAAGGAAAGAGGATAGGCTAAAAAAATGAGCTTCAAAATTAAAGCATAGAGAAAGAAAACTATGTTTCTAAATAGACATTTAACTAACTCATATTTACTGCTTGGAATAGTGTTAGCTACTGACCACACAGTTTAAGCCCTAATTTTTTTTTTTGATAAGTTTATTTTTACATCATTTTGTACATTTTTCCCCCATCTCAATTGTAATCCCCGTGGGTTGCCCATCACCAAGTCACCCGTGTGCCATCACCATAATCCCGTTCCCTCCCCATCCCCCCGTTTTTGATCCCATTCCCCACTCCACCCCCACAAAATGTCTCTGGTATAAGGTTGTTCATTATTCTTGTTATTTTCTCGCCTGGTCCATTATACTCCTGCTATGAGTGAAACCATCTGGTATTTTTCTTTCTCTTTCTGGCTTATCTCACTAAGCATGATCTTTTCCAGCTCCATCCAAGTTGCTGCAAAAGACATGTGTTTCTCTTTTTTG